CATTAACAATATTATACTTGTCCCTGTCCTTACAACAGCCAAGCATGTAATACATTAACAATATTATACCTGTCCTTGTCCTTTCAACAGCCAAGCATGTAATACATTAACAATATTATACTTGTCCCTGTCCTTACAACAGCCAAGCATGTAATACATTAACAATATTATACCTGTCCTTGTCCTTTCAACAGCCAAGCATGTAATACATTAACAATATTATACTTGTCCTTGTCCTTACAACAGCCAAGCATGTAATACATTAACAATATTATACTTGTCCCTGTCCGTACAACAGCCAAGCATGTAATACATTAACAATATTATACTTGTCTTTGTCCTTGTCCTTTCAACAGCCAAGCATGTAATACATTAACAATATTATACTTGTCCTTTCAACAGCCAAGCATGTAATACATTAACAATATTATACTTGTCCTTGTCCTTTCAACAGCCAAGCATGTAATACATTAACAATATTATACTTGTCCCTGTCCTTACAACAGCCAAGCATGTAATACATTAACAATATTATACTTGTCCTTGTCCTTACAACAGCCAAGCATGTAATACATTAACAATATTATACCTGTCCTTGTCCTTTCAACAGCCAAGCATGTAATACATTAACAATATTATACTTGTCCTTGTCCTTACAACAGCCAAGCATGTAATACATTAACAATATTATACTTGTCCCTGTCCTTACAACAGCCAAGCATGTAATGCATAAACAATATTATACCTGTCCTTGTCCTTACAACAGCCAAGCATGTAATACATTAACAATATTATACTTGTCCTTGTCCTTGTCCTTTCAACAGCCAAGCATGTAATACATTAACAATATTATACTTGTCCCTGTCCTTACAACAGCCAAGCATGTAATACATTAACAATATTATACTTGTCCCTGTCCTTACAACAGCCAAGCATGTAATACATTAACAATATTATACTTGTCCTTGTCCTTACAACAGCCAAGCATGTAATACATTAACAATATTATACTTGTCCCTGTCCTTACAACAGCCAAGCATGTAATACATTAACAATATTATACTTGTCCTTGTCCTTACAACAGCCAAGCATGTAATACATTAACAATATTATACTTGTCCCTGTCCTTACAACAGCCAAGCATGTAATACATTAACAATATTATACTTGTCCTTTCAACAGCCAAGCATGTAATACATTAACAATATTATACTTGTCCCTGTCCTTACAACAGCCAAGCATGTAATACATTAACAATATTATACTTGTCCTTGTCCCTGTCCTTACAACAGCCAAGCATGTAATACATTAACAATATTATACCTGTCCCTGTCCTTACAACAGCCAAGCATGTAATACATTAACAATATTATACTTGTCCTTGTCCGTACAACAGCCAAGCATGTAATACATTAACAATATTATACTTGTCCTTGTCCTTTCAACAGCCAAGCATGTAATACATTAACAATATTATACTTGTCCTTGTCCATTCAACAGCCAAGCATGTAATACATTAACAATATTATACTTGTCCTTGTCCGTACAACAGCCAAGCATGTAATACATTAACAATATTATACTTGTCCTTGTCCTTACAACAGCCAAGCATGTAATACATTAACAATATTATACTTGTCCTTGTCCTTACAACAGCCAAGCATGTAATACATTAACAATATTATACTTGTCCCTGTCCTTACAACAGCCAAGCATGTAATACATTAACAATATTATACCTGTCCTTGTCCTTACAACAGCCAAGCATGTAATACATTAACAATATTATACCTGTCCTTGTCCTTACAACAGCCAAGCATGTAATACATTAACAATATTATACTTGTCCTTGTCCATTCAACAGCCAAGCATGTAATACATTAACAATATTATACTTGTCCTTGTCCCTGTCCTTACAACAGCCAAGCATGTAATACATTAACAATATTATACTTGTCCCTGTCCGTACAACAGCCAAGCATGTAATACATTAACAATATTATACTTGTCCTTGTCCTTACAACAGCCAAGCATGTAATACATTAACAATATTATACTTGTCCCTGTCCTTACAACAGCCAAGCATGTAATACATTAACAATATTATACTTGTCCTTGTCCGTACAACAGCCAAGCATGTAATACATTAACAATATTATACTTGTCCTTGTCCTTTCAACAGCCAAGCATGTAATACATTAACAATATTATACTTGTCCTTGTCCTTACAACAGCCAAGCATGTAATACATTAACAATATTATACTTGTCCCTGTCCTTACAACAGCCAAGCATGTAATACATTAACAATATTATACCTGTCCCTGTCCTTACAACAGCCAAGCATGTAATACATTAACAATATTATACTTGTCCTTGTCCTTGTCCTTTCAACAGCCAAGCATGTAATACATTAACAATATTATACTTGTCCCTGTCCTTACAACAGCCAAGCATGTAATACATTAACAATATTATACTTGTCCTTGTCCTTACAACAGCCAAGCATGTAATACATTAACAATATTATACTTGTCCCTGTCCTTACAACAGCCAAGCATGTAATACATTAACAATATTATACTTGTCCTTGTCCTTGTCCTTTCAACAGCCAAGCATGTAATACATTAACAATATTATACTTGTCCCTGTCCTTACAACAGCCAAGCATGTAATACATTAACAATATTATACTTGTCCTTGTCCTTACAACAGCCAAGCATGTAATACATTAACAATATTATACTTGTCCCTGTCCTTACAACAGCCAAGCATGTAATACATTAACAATATTATACTTGTCCTTGTCCTTACAACAGCCAAGCATGTAATACATTAACAATATTATACTTGTCCCTGTCCTTACAACAGCCAAGCATGTAATACATTAACAATATTATACTTGTCCCTGTCCTTACAACAGCCAAGCATGTAATACATTAACAATATTATACTTGTCCTTGTCCTTACAACAGCCAAGCATGTAATACATTAACAATATTATACTTGTCCCTGTCCTTACAACAGCCAAGCATGTAATACATTAACAATATTATACTTGTCCTTGTCCTTACAACAGCCAAGCATGTAATACATTAACAATATTATACTTGTCCATGTCCGTACAACAGCCAAGCATGTAATACATTAACAATATTTTACTTGGCCTTGTCCTTTCAACAGCCAAGCATGTAATACATTAACAATATTATACTTGTCCTTGTCCTTACAACAGCCAAGCATGTAATACATTAACAATATTATACTTGTCCCTGTCCTTACAACAGCCAAGCATGTAATACATTAACAATATTATACTTGTCCTTGTCCTTTCAACAGCCAAGCATGTAATACATTAACAATATTATACTTGTCCCTGTCCTTACAACAGCCAAGCATGTAATACATTAACAATATTATACTTGTCCTTGTCCCTGTCCTTACAACAGCCAAGCATGTAATACATTAACAATATTATACTTGTCCCTGTCCTTACAACAGCCAAGCATGTAATACATTAACAATATTATACCTGTCCTTGTCCTTACAACAGCCAAGCATGTAATACATTAACAATATTATACTTGTCCTTGTCCTTACAACAGCCAAGCATGTAATACATTAACAATATTATACTTGTCCCTGTCCTTACAACAGCCAAGCATGTAATACATTAACAATATTATACTTGTCCTTGTCCTTGTCCTTTCAACAGCCAAGCATGTAATACATTAACAATATTATACTTGTCCCTGTCCTTACAACAGCCAAGCATGTAATACATTAACAATATTATACTTGTCCTTTTCCCTGTCCTTACAACAGCCAAGCATGTAATACATTAACAATATTATACTTGTCCCTGTCCTTACAACAGCCAAGCATGTAATACATTAACAATATTATACTTGTCCTTGTCCGTACAACAGCCAAGCATGTAATACATTAACAATATTATACCTGTCCTGGTCCTTACAACAGCCAAGCATGTAATACATTAACAATATTATACCTGTCCTTGTCCTTTCAACAGCCAAGCATGTAATACATTAACAATATTATACTTGTCCCTGTCCTTACAACAGCCAAGCATGTAATACATTAACAATATAATACTTGTCCTTGTCCTTACAACAGCCAAGCATGTAATACATTAACAATATTATACCTGTCCTTGTCCTTTCAACAGCCAAGCATGTAATACATTAACAATATTATACTTGTCCCTGTCCTTACAACAGCCAAGCATGTAATACATTAACAATATTATACCTGTCCTTGTCCTTTCAACAGCCAAGCATGTAATACATTAACAATATTATACTTGTCCCTGTCCTTACAACAGCCAAGCATGTAATACATTAACAATATTATACTTGTCCTTGTCCATTCAACAGCCAAGCATGTAATACAGTAACAATATTATACTTGTCCTTGTCCATTCAACAGCCAAGCATGTAATACATTAACAATATTATACTTGTCCCTGTCATTACAACAGCCAAGCATGTAATACATTAACAATATTATACTTGTCCTTGTCCATTCAACAGCCAAGCATGTAATACATTAACAATATTATACTTGTCCTCCGAGCATGTTATACATTAACAATATTATACTTGCCTTTGTCCTTTCGACAGCCAAGCATGTAATACATTAACAATATTATACTTGTCCTTGTCCATTCAACAGCCAAGCATGTAATACATTAACAATATTATACTTGGCCTTGTCCATTCAACAGCCAAGCATGTAATACATTAACAATATTATACTTGTCCTTGTCCTTTCGACAGCCAAGCATGTAATACATTAACAATATTATAATTGTCTTTGTCCTTTCAACAGCCAAGCATGTAATACATTAACAATATTTTACTTGGCCTTGTCCTTTCAACAGCCAAGCATGTAATACATTAACAATATTATACTTGTCCTTGTCCTTTCAACAGCCAAGCATGTAATACATTAACAATATTATACTTGTCCTTTCAACAGCCAAGAATTTCAAGCTTTGAAATCCAATGAAGCTAGAAAATCCAAGACCTTACAAAGTTTACATGCTGCAAAAAATGATAAATACAAAAGATTTGGTGCCTATGTACCAGCAGTACTGAAGAGTATAGACGAACATTGTAGAAAGGGAGCATTTCATCAGCGACCTAGAGGACCAATAGGTAATTAATTAGTAACATTTCATCAGCGACCTAGAGGACCAATATGTAATTGATTAGTAACATTTCATCAGCGACATAGAGGACCAATAGGTAATTAATAGTAACATTTCATCAGCGACCTAGAGAACCAATAGGTAATTAATTAGTAACATTTCATCAGCTATCTAGAGGACCAATAGGTAATTTAACATTTCATCAGTGACCTAGAGGATCAATAGGTAATTAATTAGTAACATTTCATCAGCGACCTAGAGGACCAATAGGTAATTAGTTAGTAACTTTTCATCAGTAAACAACAGGTTATTAACAAACTCTCAGATATTAATCAACCACAAGTAAGACAAGAAGGTGATTTAGAAACAAACCAAGCTTTTCTTTAGTGAAAAAGAAGACTCAGAAAGTAATTTTATTTCATGAAGATGATGAGTTTTCACTTAATATCTAGACAAATATAAGATAGACGAACTTTGAACAGCAAAAATGCTCAGCAACACATTTCTACAAATAAGTCAATACAATTGAAATCGACCTCTAAATCACAAATTTACCTACTTTTTTTCTTCTATTTTGTCTTATTATCTTGAAAACCTTCAAATGAACAAAATTAGTGCAGCAAGACAAGATTATAGCACCACAGTTTCCATTCAACACAAATATTGTTATTGCATTGTGTCAATTTCACATTAACTGCCAGGTGATTGATACTGGCTCCTCTCAGCTTCTAGTTATATTTGATGTTTCCATATATTTAAATGTTCATAATAGACCACTTAAATGTTCATTATAGACCATTCTACTTAAGAATCATTCTGTTTATCGTTTGAGTCTTTGATGAATTTTTGCATTTTTATTTTATTACAGGAGCTTGCTTTCACCTTAAAGATCAGAAGTGGGCATTACCTGTTGAACGTTGCCTTGGCAATTTAATAAGTTCATTTTGTTGCAATGATCACCACGATCAGAAACTTTTAGATAGTATTTTGGACCGACATTGTGGCGACAGATCTCGTCCTTCTATTATAACTAGCAAATTTAAGGTATATTATCATAAGTTAAATTTCTGAACAATATGACCAGTAATGTGGTCCTTGGTTTTAAGATAATAACACGGGTAAATTTTGGCCATGCTTAACTGAGAACAAATTTCAGAATAAAACAAAAAGTCATGTTTATAAAACTGGTGTTGATAATTCTCTATTGGGAAAAGAAGAATTGATTTGGTTATGTTGTGATCCTTAGGTAATAGGCCAAGATCACAGCAGCTATGGATAGACTACCAGATATTCTCTCTTGAAGTAAATGAATGGTTCATCTGTTATGCCACTTGATTAAAGGTTAAACTCATTATTTGTGTAGAAAGGATATTTTGAAGTATATTATTTTTTACAGCAAAAGTCATTTTTGTCTCGCCTGCAACTTTTGTCGCAGTATGCAAGACTAAAAGTATTACTATCCGGAGGCGTAAACTATTTGTATAAAGCTTTATATTTCAGAAGGTAGAAGACCTGGATGCTTCATATCTTGCAGGTACCTTATGTTAAGAAGTTTCCGTCTGTCATATGTCCATTAACCTTGACCTCATTTTCATGGTTCAGCAACTGCTTGAAAAAAAATTATAGTTTTTTTGTCATGTGAATTTCTCACTTATTATGAGTAATAGGATCATTATATTTGGTATATGGGTTCCTTGCAACATCTACAAGTCCCCCAGACAGGGTTCACCTGACCTCGACCTCATTTCATGGATCCGTGATCAAGGTTAAAGTTACATGATTAGGTCCGTTTCTCAAATACTATAAGCAATAGATCAACTATATGTGGTGTATGGAATGATTGTAATGGGTACATTTCAGTCTGGCAGGTTTCATCTGACCTTGACCTCATTTTCATGGTTCATTGGTCAATGTTAAGTTTTTTGTGTTTTGGTCTGTTTTTCAAGTACTATAAGCAATAGGTCAACTATATGTGTAGTATGGAATGAATAATTGGTACATATCTGTCTGGCAGGTTTCATCTGACCTTGACCTCATTTTCATGGTTCATTGGTCAATGTTAAGTTTTTTGTGTTTTAGTCTGTTTTTCAAGTACTATAAGCAATAGGTCAACTATATGTGTAGTATGGAATGAATAATTGGTACATATCTGTCTGGCAGGTTTCATCTGACCTTGACCTCATTTTCATGGTTCATTGGTCAATGTTTAGTTTTTGTTTTTTGGTATGTTTTTCAAATACTAATAGTAATAGGTCAGCTATATGTGGTGTATGGAATAACTGTAAGGTGTACATGTCTGTCTGGCATATATAATTTGTCCTTGACCTCATTTTTATGGTTCATTGGTCAATGTTAAGGTTTTGTCTTGCCTTGACGGAGTCAAAAAGCAAGACATAGGTATGCTGTTTCCGGCGGCGACGGCGGCTGCGTCAACAATGTATTAGTTTGTGATTAGGTCTAGTTCATGGTGAACCACTAGAGGTAGGTCAATGATATTTGGTATGCAGTTGTATTAGCATTGGCACATCTCATTACCATGGAGATTATTTGGCCCCGCCCCCTCAGTCGAGGTCTACTGACTTTGAAACTTTGCTTAGTTTACATGTATTAATTTGTGATTAGGTCAGTTTATGGGGAACCACTAGTGGTAGGTCAGTGATATTTGGTATGCAGTTGTATTAACATTGGCACATCTCATTACCATGGAGATTATTTGGCTCCGCCCCCTCAGTCAAGGTCTATTGACTTTGAAACTTTGCTTAGTTTACATGTATTAGTTTGTGATTAGGTCAGTTTATGGGGAACCACTAGTGATAGGTCAATGATATTTGGTATGCAGTTGTATAAGCATTGGCATATCTCATTTCCATGGAGATTATTTGGCCCCGCCCCCTCATTCATGGTCTATTGACTTTAAAACTTTTGCTTAGTTTTCATGTATTAGTTTGTGATTAGGTCAGTTTAAGATGAACAACTAAAATATGAAGTCAATGATATTTGGTATGCAAATGTATTGGCATTTGCAAGTTTCATTTCCACGGAGATTATATAACCCCCACCGGGGCCACCCCTTAATTATGGTTCATTGACTTTGAAACTTTTACATAGTTTACAAGTTAATGTTTGTGTTAAGGTTTGTTTAAAGGGAACGACTTACTTGTGTTAAGGTTTGTTTAAAGGGAACGACTTACGAAAAGACAATGGTATTTGGTTTGCAGTTGTATTAACATTGGCACATCTCATTTCCATGGAGATTGTTTAGCCCTGTACCTTCAGTCATGGTTCGTTGACTTTGAAAATTTGCATAACTTGCATGTTAAAGTATTGCTATTTTAATTTCATCATTTGCATTATCAAAATAACAATTAGGAGAGACATATCTCTGTGTTAACAGTTTATTTGTGTTTTGGTCTGTTTTTCAAGTACTATAAGCAATAGGTCAACTATATGTGTAGTATGGAATGAATAATTGGTACATATCTGTCTGGCAGGTTTCATCTGACCTTGACCTCATTTTCATGGTTCATTGGTCAATGTTTAGTTTTTGTGTTTTGGTATGTTTTTCAAATACTAATAGTAATAGGTCAGCTATATTTGGTGTATGGAATAACTGTAAGGTGTACATGTCTGTCTGGCATGTATGATTTGTCCTTGATCCTATTTTCATGGTTCATTGGTCAATGTTAAGATTTTGTGTTTTGGTCTGTTTTTCAATTACCATAAGCAATAGGTCAACTATATTTGGTGTTTAAAAAAAATGTAAGGTGTATATGGCTGTCTGACAGGATTTATCTGACCTTGACCTCATTCTGATAAAAATGTTAAAACCTTGATCTTTAAGACTTCCAACATAAAATTAATGCTCAGTAAAGCAGACGAGACATTTCAGGGTGTGTAGTATGTTAGTCTACTACTGATTTCAACCTGTTTATTTTTGTTTCAGGATAAAGTGTATGATACATCAAGACTGGTAAGTCACTTTTATATTTACTTTCAAAAATGAAAAAAATATCTGATTATGATAAAAATAGCACAGCTAAAGTGATTGCTAATCACTTGATATTTAAGACAAGAAACTGTTATTTGAAAGTTTATATTTAATTGTACTTATTAAGCTATCTTGCTGTTACAGAAGTATTACTGCTTTTTATAACCGTAATTGCTTCACTTAATCATATTGATAACACAACAAACTTTGAAATGATAGTTTACCTGTGTATCTTACAAAGAGTACAGTGATGAATTTACCTGTATATCTTATTTACTTTACAGAGAGTACAGAGCGATGAATTCCCTGCTGTGATAGATGTTTTAGACGTAGAAGATCCAGTTATTGCTAATTGTCTTATAGATCAGGTAATATTTGTCACAGGTTGAAGTGCATAGAATGTTTAATGTATGATACGAATGAGTGTTTAATTCATCAAAAAATCTAATTTTTTAAGAAATGTATATGATCTGAAAAACTATTGAATTAAAAAATTGTCTGTATTTTTTTGAAAAATATATGGAAAGAGTGATCATTTGTTAAACTATGTGATGACAGTTGTATCATAAATAGACATTTGAAGAAATGTGTGTTTTCTTTATATTTCAGAGAAGCATAGAGCTTATTTTGTTGATTGCTGATAGAAAAAGAGCCACTCAAGTTATGGACCCTGAATTAAGACCAGGTCCTCCCAAAAATTGTAGAGAGGTATAGTTTGTGAAGTGAATTATATTGTTTGAAGGGAATTTTTTTTCATAGTATACGTTTCTAAAAAAAAAAATCATAGGTAAAGAGAATGATTTTGAGCAATTTAAAAAGATTGATAATCTTGATGATGATTTGTATGAAGTTTGTGATAATAGTTGCTTAAAATGTATATTCTTGCTTTTCTTAGTTTTAAACATAAAATGTTCATCACAAAGCCCACATTCACTATTTTTATACGACCGCAAAAAAATTTTTGTGGTCGTATATTGGTATGACGTTGGCGTCGTCGTCGTCCGGCGTCGTCGTCGTCGTCGTCCGAAGACACATCGGTTTTCGCACTCTAACTTTAGTTTAAGTGAATGGATCTTTATGAAATTTTACCACAAGGTTCAATACCACAAAAGGAAGGTTGGGATTGATTTTGGGGGTTATGGTAATAACAGTAAAGGAATTAGGGGCCAAAAAGGGGCCAAAAATAAGCATTTTTGTAACTTCCAGACATAACTTGTGTGTTAGTGTATGGATCTCTCTGACATTGTACCACAAGGTTCCATATCACTAAAGGAATGCTGGGATTGATTTTGGGGGTAATTGCCTCCAAATTTTAGGAATTAGGGGCCAAAAAAGGGGCAAAAAACAAGCATTTTTCTAGTTTCATGACAATAACTTGTGTGTAAGTGTATGGATCTTTCTGAAATTGTACTACAAGGTTCCATATCACAAAGGGAAAGCTGGGTTTGAGTTTGGGGGTAATTGCCCTAAACGTTTAGGAATTTGGGGCCAAAAAGGGGCCAAAAAACACATTTTTTTCTAGTTTCCAGACAATAACTTGTGTTCAAGTGTATGGATCTCTCTGAAATTGTACTGCAAGGTACCATACCACAAAGGGAAGGCTGGGATTGAGTTTGGGGGTGATGAATCATAATGGGGGTTCAAAAAATTTTGGGGGGGATTTATTTTTTTTTCCTTTTTTTTCTTTTTTTCCTTTTTTGTTTCTTTTAAAATTTTCCATTTTAAGTTGGTTATTTCTGATTTATATTTAAAATCAAATAATAATGATATGGTAGGAGATACACACCAAACAGGATGTGTAAATTATTATATAATAAGTATTGTGCAATAGCAAGAAATTTTCAATTGCACAGTATTGCACAATAGCAAGAAATCTTCAATTGCACAGTATTGCGCAATAGCAAGAAATCTTCAATTGCACAGTATTGCGCAATAGCAAGAAATATCCAATAGCACAATATTGCGCAATAGCAAGAAATTGTCAATTGTACAGTATTGCGCAATAGCAAGAAATATTTAATAGCACAGGATTGTGCAAAAGAAGATACTTCCTATAAATTGCTTATTTCTTGACCAATTTCAATGGGGTTTTATTCTTGATTTCATGGGGTTCTTTAATATGCTGAATCTAACCGTGTATTTAGTTTTTGGATTTTGGGCCCCGTTTTTAAATTGGTCCAAATTGAGGTCCAAAGGGTCCAAAATTAAACTTTGTTTGATTTCATCAAAAATTGAATTATTGGGGTTCTTTGATATGCCGAATCTAACTGTGTATTTAGATTCTTAAATTTTGGTTCCGTTTTCAAATTGGTCTACATTAAGGTCCAAAGGGTCCAAAATTAAACTTAGTTTGATTTTAACAAAAATTGAATTCTTAGGGTTCTTTGATATGCTGAATCTAAACATGTATTTAGAATTTTGATTATGGGCCCAGTTTTCAAGTTGGTCCAAATCGGGGTCCAAAATTAAACTTTGTTTGATTTCAACAAAAATTGAATATATGGGGTTCTTTGATATGCTGAATCTAACCATGTATTTAGATTTTTGATTTTTGGGCCCCGTTATCAACTTTGTCCACATTGAGGTCAAAAGGGTCCAAAATTAAACTTTGTTTGATTTCATCAAAAATTGAATTATTGGGGTTCTTTGATATGCCGAATCTAACCGTTTATTTAGATTCTTAATTTTTGGTTCCGTTTTCAAATTGGTCTACATTAAGGTCCAAAGGGTCCAAAATTAAACTTAGTTTGATTTTAACAAAAATTGAATTCTTAGGGTTCTTTGATATGCTGAATCTAAACATGTATTTAGATTTTTGATTATGGGCCCAGTTTTCAAGTTGGTCCAAATCGGGGTCCAAAATTAAACTTTGTTTGATTTCAACAAAAATTGAATACATGGGGTTCTTTGATATGCTGAATCTAACCATGTATTTAGATTTTTGATTTTTGGGCCCCGTTATCAACTTTGTCCACATTGAGGTCAAAAGGGTCCAAAATTAAACTTTGTTTGATTTCATCAAAAATTGAATTATTGGGGTTCTTTGATATGCCGAATCTAACCGTGTATTTAGATTCTTAATTTTTGGTTCCGTTTTCAAATTGGTCTACATTAAGGTCCAAAGAGTCCAAAATTAAACTTAGTTTGATTTTAACAAAAATTGAATTCTTAGGGTTCTTTGATATGCTGAATCTAAACATGTATTTAGATTTTTGATTATGGGCCCAGTTTTCAAGTTGGTCCAAATCGGGGTCCAAAATTAAACTTTGTTTGATTTCAACAAAAATTGAATATATGGGGTTCTTTGATATGCTGAATCTAACCATGTATTTAGATTTTTGATTTTTGGGCCCCGTTATCAACTTTGTCCACATTGAGGTCAAAAGGGTCCAAAATTAAACTTTGTTTGATTTCATCAAAAATTGAATTATTGGGGTTCTTTGATATGCCGAATCTAACCGTGTATTTAGATTCTTAATTTTTGGTTCCGTTTTCAAATTGGTCTACATTAAGGTCCAAAGGGTCCAAAATTAAACTTAGTTTGATTTTAACAAAAATTGAATTCTTAGGGTTCTTTGATATGCTGAATCTAAACATGTATTTAGATTTTTGATTATGGGCCCAGTTTTCAAGTTGGTCCAAATCGGGGTCCAAAATTAAACTTTGTTTGATTTCAACAAAAATTGAATATATGGGGTTCTTTGATATGCTGAATCTAACCATGTATTTAGATTTTTGATTTTTGGGCCCCGTTATCAACTTTGTCCACATTGAGGTCAAAAGGGTCCAAAATTAAACTTTGTTTGATTTCATCAAAAATTGAATTCTTGGGGTTCTTTGATATGCTGAATCTAACCATGTATTTAGATTTTGGATATTGGACCATAATAGGTGAATGTCCAATTTAAAATTTTTAAGTTCTTAGACCACATTCAATTTGTGTTAGAAACCTATGCTGTGTCAAATATTTAATCACAATCCAAATCCAAAGCTGTATCAAGCTTGAATGTTGTGTCCATACTTCCCCCAACTGTTCAGGGTTCGACCTCTGCGGTCGTATCAAGCTGCGCCCTGCGGAGCATTTTATTATGTTTTCCATTACAGGCGTTTACTCTGAGTGGTGATCAGTTATACTGCTTTCCATCACTTCGTCATTACTCTTGTAACTACGACAGAGCTAAATTTCTGACAGCCAATGTTGAGGAAGATATTCAGAAAATGGAGGAAGAATTAAATGGGATAAGATCTGATTTAGAAAAGAATAGACAAAAACAAAGAAATCTGAATATAGAAATAAGTAAAAATGAGAATGAAGGCAAGAAAACAGATACTCAGTTGATGAAAATTCATCAGAAAATAAGGAAGTTCAATACAGTAAGTAATCTATTCTCATATATGTTTAAAAGAAGTGGGATTTATGTCAATGAGACAGCAACCAAACAAAAGATCATTCTAATATCATGCTCTTCTTTCCCTTTGTAAGCAAAGCCAGTCATGTTCCTATTCCTATAGAACATGTGTTGCATGTGTGTGACGTCACAATTAGAATTACAACAATTGGCTTTTGAACCATTCTAACATTTTTATTGGTTTTGCTTACTAGAAATTAAAAATATTTTAAAATTAAATTTACATGCTTCAATTCATTTTTGTCGAGCCTTCGACTTTTGTCGAAAAAGCGAGACATAGCGATCCTACATTCCGGCGGCGGCGTCCACAAATATTCACTCTGTGGTTAAAGTTTTTGAAATTTTAATAACTTTCTTAAACTATCCTGGATTTCTACCAAACTTGGACAGAAGCTTGTTTATGATCATAAGATAATATTCAAAAGTAAATTTTGTAAAAAAAAAATTCCAATTTTTCCGTATTTTACTTATAAATGGACTTAGTTTTTCTGCCAAGAAACATAACATTCACTCTGTGGTTAAAGTTTTTGAAATTTTAATAACTTTCTTAAACTATCCTGGATTTCTACCAAACTTGGACAGAAGCTTGTTTATGATCATAAGATAATATTCAAAAGTAAATTTTGTAAAAAAAAAAATTCCATTTTTTCCGTATTTTACTTATAAATGGACTTAGTTTTTCTGCCAAGAAACATTACACTCACTCTGTGGTTAAAGTTTTTGAAATTTTAATAACTTTCTTAAACTATCCTGGATTTCTACCAAACTTGGAAAGAAGCTTGTTTATGATCAAAAGATAGTATCCAGAAGTAAATTTTGTAAAAAAAAAAATTCCATTTTTTCTGTATTTTACTTATAAATGGACTTAGTTTTTCTGCCATGAAACATTACATTCACTCTGTGGTTAAAGTTTTTGAAATTTTAATAACTTTCTTAAACTATCCTGGATTTCTACCAAACTTGGAAAGAACCTTGTTTATGATCAAAAGATAGTATCCAGAAGTAAATTTTGTAAAAAAGTAAAAAATAAATTCCATTTTTTCCGTATTTTACTTGTAAATGGACTTAGTTTTTCTTCCAGTTAACATTACATACAGTCTGCACTTTAAGTTTTTAAAACATTTATTAGATTGATAAACTATCCTGGATTTTTACCAAACTTGGACAGAAGCTACTTACAATCAAAAGATAGTATAGAGAGGAATAATTTTATTAATTTTTTTCCTCATTTTTGTTGAGCCTGCGATTAACAGCAAAAGTAGGCGAGACACTGGGTTCCGCGGAACCCTTACAAATTTTTTGATTATGAAAAAGTTAATTTGCTAAAACATTTGTCCTTCATCAAATCAAAATGGTTGCTTTGACCCGGTCTTATAGATTTGCTTCAAAGAACAAAAGTTTTGAATTTTCCTTTTAGAATCGAAATAATTTTATCATGCCATCCTCTAGGCTCAGTTTCACATGGTTAGGCATTATATTTGTTATTTTACACCTCACTAATGCTCTGTACAAAGATATTGACGAATGTAATGCTTACTCATGTTAACATGAGCATAAAGCATGACCTCAAAGAATTACTTTTAAAGTATTATAGATAATTCCCCCTTTTAGTCTAGTACAGCACAGTATGGTACAACCTTAACCTAAATAACATGTTTGAGTGACCAAGAACCATGGTTATTGTTGAGCCTGCGACTTAAGTCGCAGAAAGCTCGACATAGGGATAGTGATCCGGTGGCGGTATTAACTAACTTCTTAAAAGCTTAATATTTCAGAAGGTACAAGACCTGGATGCTTCATACTTTGTATATAGATGACTCATGATATGAAGTTTCCTTCTGTCATATGTCCATTGTCCTTGACCTCATTTTCATGGTTCAGTGACTACTTGAAAAAAAGTTAAGATTTTTTGTAATGTTAATTTCTCTCTTATTATCAGTAATAGGATAACTATATTTGGTATGTGCGTAACTTGTAAGGTCCTCATGTCTGTCAGACAGTTTTCACTTGACCTCGACCTCATTTCATGGAACAGTGAACAAGGTTAACTTTTCTTGGTCAAGTCCATATCTCAGATACTATAAGCAATAGGTCTACTATATTTGGTGTATGGAATGATTGTAAGGTGTACATGTCCAACTGGCAGGTGTCATCTTACCTTGGCCTCATTTTCATGGTTCAATGGTAATAGTTTAGTTTTTGTGTTTTGGTCTGTTTTTCTAATACTGTATGCAATAGGTCAATTATATTTGGTGTATGGAAATATTTTACGATGTACATATCAGTCTGGCAGGTTTTATTTGACCTTGACCTCATTTTCATGATTCATTGGTTAATATAGAATTTCCATGGTTTGGTCTGTTTCTTTTATACTATAAGCAATAGGTCATCTATATTCTGTGTATGGAATGATTGTATTAAAGGTGTACATGTATTTGTCTGATAGATAAATATTTCCACCTTGGTTTATCTGACCTTGACCTCATTTTCTTGGATCATAAATGTTAATGTGATACTTGTAGTAAAACTTTATATGTAGGGCTATCAACATAAAATCAACGGTCAGTATAGTAGGCGAGACATTTCAGTGTGTGCACTCTTGTATTTAAATAGTTTCAATCAATAAAAATTTGTTTATACTGTCTTTGATATTTTTTTTGATATTTTTTTTTACACAAGATACACAATTTTGACCTTTGATAAGCCTTGTTAAACACGAAAAAGGTTCTCAAAGCAAAAATGTTATAATAGTGCTTTTTTGAATACATTGGAATATGGTAGAAATCGTTCAAGGTTGTCAAAACTGTAATATTATTTGTCTTACTTGTCCATCTGTCAGTTCATATGTCCTTCTATCTGTCCAGCAAATATTTTGATCACACCTTTCTGAGGTATGATCAAACAAAACTTCATATTTGGTCAGCAGCCTGATGAGTTGTAATGTGTGAGAACTTTATTTATCTATCAGACAAATACTTCCTGTTTGAAGATACTTTGAATTTTCAATATGTTGAATTGACTTTTTTCATCACACTTTGCTCAAGTACACTAGAAAAATTTCTTATTCAGTCAGCAGCTTGGCAGTGATTAATTGTTAAGTTTAAGTGCTTTTCAGACCTGTCAGAAACCTTCTTGAGTTTTTTATTACTGGATATTAGAAGTGGGGTATGCTTATCACAACAACATGTGCATTCTTCTTTATTTTTCTCATAATGATATTTTTCCTGAAATAGTGTGTTATATTTTATTTACAGGACGTTGATGATTTAAAGAGTATAGAAGATCCAGCACCAGTTGATGTCACCACATTGGTAAGTGTCTGTTGATGTCACCTCATTGGTAAATGTCTGTTGATGTCACCACATTGGTAAGTGTCTGTTGATGTCACCTCATTGGTAAATGTCTGTTGATGTCACCACATTGGTAAGTGTCTGTTGATGTCACCTCATTGGTAAATGTCTGTTGATGTCACCACATTGGTAAGTGTCTGTTCATGTCTCCTCATTGGTAAATGTCTATTGGTGTCACCACATTGGTAAGCGTCTGTTGATGTCACCACATTGGTAAATGTCTGTTGATGTCACCACATTGGTAAGTGTCTGTTGATGTCACCACATTGGTAAATGTCTGTTGATGTCACCACATTGGTAAGTGTCTGTTGATGTCACCACATTGGCAAGTGTTTTAGGTAACAAATTGTACTTAGAAATATTGAAATAAGAAACTTTGCATGTAGTAGTAACTTAAAAGAAAACATTAGCAGACACATTTTCTCATTGTAAGTATTATTTAAAAATTGTACGAGATATCTTTTCATATAATTATCTTAAACAGGCATTACCTGTTATTATAATAGAAATTGCTTTGCTCAGTTACCTTTCTAAATAGCTTCAAATATATCATTTATAATTTTGTGAAATGTTCCCTTTTTAAATATCTTCTTTACATGAATATTTAATAATTTTTCAAACCAATAGTAATAGGACTTGAGTTTAGAATAAGCTGAGCTTAATGATATGGAGTTTACCGGACATTAAACTTTTCCTGCCAATTCTAGGAAGAGGAAGTAGAAAATTTAAAAGAATCAATTCAAGCACATGAAGATCAAAAATCAGAAAAACAGGGAATATATGACGATGCACAAATAGATGTAGAAGAGGCGGATGCAAATTTCAAAGTTATTGAGAAAGAAATGAGAAGTAAAGCTGAAGGAGGTGAACCCCTAAGAGACGATCTAGGAAAAGTACAGGCAGAAATAGAACAGGCAAAAAGTCATAAAAAACATTATGAAATGAAATACAAGGAGCAAGAAAAGAAGATTGCTGATTTGAAGAAGAAAATAGATACATATAAGGCAGAAATACAGGTACAATGCAGTTGTGCTTTATTTTTTAAGTAATTATATCTAGTCCAATACCTGTGCCTTCTTATTAAATATTTGGATATATAGTCAGATCTGTTTTGTGTCTGGATCATTTCTTGTTCATGACATTTACAGAGGAAAGGTTTATGGAACATGATAGATTTCAAATTGATAATTGAAATCTGAGAAATATCCTTAAAAACTTCACATAGTTTTTAGTTTTTTTCCCAAGCAGATATTAGGTAACAAAATCCCCTGCCACATTACAGCAGGTTAAATGAACAACAAACTGGCTTATAAAGAAAGACATGACTATTTCCTTTGTGGCTTCCACCTAAAGACATCACTATTTCCTTTGTGGCTTCCACCTAAAGACATGACTATTTCCTTTGTGGCTTCCACCTATCTGATTCTGATACAGATCATCTGTTAAAGCTTTGCTTACAAGATACACTCCATTCTACAACTCTATCATCTGTTAAAGCTTTGCTTACAAGATACACTCCATTCTACAACTCTATCATCTGTTAAAGCTTTGCTTACAAGATACACTCCATTCTACAACTCTATCATCTGTTAAAGCTTTGCTTACAAGATACACTCCATTCTACAACTCTATCATCTGTTAAAGCTTTGCTTACAAGATACACTCCATTCTACAACTCTATCATCTGTTAAAGCTTTGCTTACAAGATACACTCCATTCTACAACTCTATCATCTGTTAAAGCTTTGCTTACAAGATACACTCCATTCTACAACTCTATCATCTGTTAAAGCTTTGCTTACAAGATACACTCCATTCTACAACTCTATCATCTGTTAAAGCTTTGCTTACAAGATACACTCCATTCTACAACTCTATCATCTGTTAAAGCTTTGCTTACAAGATACACTCCATTCTACAACTCTATCATCTGTTAAAGCTTTGCTTACAAGATACACTCCATTCTACAACTCTATCATGTGTTAAAGCTTTGCTTACAAGATACACTCCATTCTACAACTCTATCATGTGTTAAAGCTTTGCTTACAAGATACACTCCATTCTACAACTCTATCATGTGTTAAAGCTTTGCTTACAAGATACACTCCATTCTACAACTCTATCATGTGTTAAAGCTTTGCTTACAAGATACACTCCATTCTACAACTCTATCATCTGTTAAAGCTTTGCTTACAAGATACACTCCATTCTACAACTCTATCATCTGTTAAAGCTTTGCTTACAAGATACACTCCATTCTACAACTCTATCATCTGTTAAAGCTTTGCTTACAAGATACACTCCATTCTACAACTCTATCATCTGTTAAAGCTTTGCTTACAAGATACACTCCATTCTACAACTCTATCATCTGTTAAAGCTTTGCTTACAAGATACACTCCATTCTACAACTCTATCATCTGTTAAAGCTTTGCTTACAAGATACACTCCATTCTACAACTCTATCATCTGTTAAAGCTTTGCTTACAAGATACACTCCATTCTACAACTCTATCATCTGTTAAAGCTTTGCTTACAAGATACACTCCATTCTACAACTCTATCATGTGTTAAAGCTTTGCTTACAAGATACACTCCATTCTACAACTCTACACTTACACAAATAAGAACCATAAGTTAAGATAGCCTGTGCATTCATTTATTTTAGTGGGGTATCAATTTACATGTATTATAGGAATATAGTATTTCCTTGAAATGAAAGACCATAGATAATCTGTTTATAGCTATTTTCCTAGGCAATGTCAAGTTTGCTAATGACGTCATTGGTAGCACTACTTTATTGAGAAAAACCATTATCAGTTGAGTCGCTTGAGATGGAAAATTATCACACAAAAAGTGTAGCAAAGAAAAAAGCAATAACATGTATTATTGATTAATTGATTGATTGATTGTTGGTTGCTTAACTTGATACATTGATAGTTGTTTTCTTTGACACCAGTTTTTGATGGCTCAACATTAAGGTATTAATACCATATTGTTTAAAATAAATTATATATGTATAAAATGTTAAAACAATAATAAAAATCAGTTCTTGTGGTTTACTATGGAACATGTATCATAAATATAAAATAATAGTAAAAACTAATTCAATAGACATTAAATTAAATCCTAAGATAAAGAAGTAAAAGAAAGTCTTTCACATACTGACTTAGACTATCTATATCATGTGTTGGGTGTTAAACCATATCCTACAACATAGATATCGTCAACTGTTTGTTCTTTTTCAGACTGACATAGAGAAAGCATGTATTGTTTGTCCAGAGAGAAGGAACACTCGTAGAAGTGTAACCAATTTAGAAAGTGAAATTAATCAGATTAATAAAAGAATTAAGACAGAAGAGAAAAGGTAAAAGTAGTGGAACATTCATATTTTATTTTCCCATTGCAAAGAAGTTGAAGAATTGATATAAGAACACCTTTATTCATCTGTGTGCTTGTGTTGATTATTCTAATATGACGTCCTGCTTTCGCTTTGGAAACAAAGCCATGTTCAAATTACAATAAAACATGGGCTGCACGTGATTGACGTCACAATTGAAATTGCAACATCAGTTGTATTTTGAACAACGCCGGAGGTCGAAATGGGCAGTTTTGTTGGTGTTTCTCGCTAGGAAATTAAATAAAATCATTCTGAAAGTAAGTTTAGGTATACATATTAATTTTTTTATCGTTCAACTGTTGATTTTCTATAACGTTTTTGGTTCATCAAATCAAAATGGCTGCCTTTTGAATGTGTACTATAGGTCCACTCGAAGTACAAAAGTTCTAAATATTCCTATCAGAATCAAAATAATTCTATCATGCCATGCTTTAAGCTAATTTTAACATGGGTAGGCATTATATTTGTCAATATTTTACACCTCACTAACGCTCGGTATAAAGATATTGACAAATATAATGCCTACCCATGTTAAAATGAGCATAAAGCATGGCATGAAAGAATTATTTCTTTAATAAATCACCATAACTGTCCAGTAATGTAAATGAACTAATTCTCGTGAGCGTCTTATTTTCGAGAGTAGATAAATAACAGAAATATAAATCAACGGTTTACAGCATCTCACCAAACCTTGAAATTAATCTTGTTTTATCTTCTGCATAATCATGGGGGAATCCCTGAAATCTTGTCATAACATGACCTAGAAGATTAATATAGAATTAAGGAGGTGTGCTTGACCGTCAATGAGACAACTATCAACCACAGACCAAAGGATGTTGATGTAAGCACTTAAAGGTCACTGTATAACCAATACCTTATTGTAAGCTATGACAGACACATTTGCCTAGTTTGAATAAATGGTATTCTGGGAAGTTAAAGCAAATAGCTTTTTAGGCCAAAAAAAAATATATGTCTGTTTACGGTTACCCGACCAACCCTACTTTTGAGCGCCAACCCTAAGTCATTTTATTTCCGTCGTAAAGTGAAAAATAAACTGAACTCGTGTCAAAAGTGAAGTTAAGTGTTGCAAATGATATAAATCAATTGCCTGATACAACCCAATGTTCACAATCGTGAATATGACAGCTGTTTTAAGGAAATTCGCAACTCGTGTGATGAAATAAACACTTTGCCGCCATTTTTTTCCAAGGGAAATAATCCAATCATCAAAAATACGGGTAAACTTGGCCCATGATCAACTCGGACCACGACAAGTCGAAACGGCATGACTCAAAATCATGTCACAAAAAATAAAATGGAAAAAAAAAATAAAATGGAAATACCGACCTACCTACCCTATTTTTTTAAAGTATGTAACCTTAAACAGACATATATTTTTTTTTGGCCTTAAAGATAATAGTTCTCTGAGTGTTCTTAATATTTTTTTCAATTACATTTTTTGCTTTTTATGTTTTCAATACATTGTTTGGACAACTTTTTTCTTTTTCTTTTTTGTTTGCCTTTTACAAACATTAATATAACATAACATTTTTTCCCACCTTAAGCCGTGGCAACCCTGAAGAAATAACTAGGAGGTACAACGAAACTAAGGAGTCCTACCAAAAAATACGCAGAGAAGTGAGACAATGCAGAACATTTATTGAGGCAAGTTAATGTTAAATCATTGGATGTCATGGAAGCATCATTTGATTTGGGTTATAGATTAAAAGTACATAAAAAAGATAACTGGGGCCAAATAAAAAACATGTTTGTTTCCCCTCGCCCCGACCGGGTCAAAAAATTATTTTACCCAAAAAAATCGGAATATTTTTTTTACTTCTGAAATTTATTAGTTTCCACTCCGACATTGGTTCTGATATTACCGGAAGTCTTCTCAGGACTCTCTGGAGTTTATCTATCAATTTAGTGGTAATGAGGGTAAACTGTCTGCTTGAAAGATGGGTGACAAGATCGCATTGTCGTTTTCTGTACGAATTAAGTACAAGGACGCGTCTAAAGTGTTACCCACCGGCAGGAACAAAAGAGAAATCTTACTTTTGTCAGATATAATCATGTAACATGTGCTTCACCATATGTCATGGACGCTATTTAGTCTTGATTATAACTTCTATCATTCCTCGCGTGGTCCTATATTTCGGTTTTGTGGTACTATAATTTTTGGTAAAATTGTGACTTGTTAAATTGTATTTGTATGGTATAAAAATTACAGGCGATATTCAACCAGCACGTTGATAGTTACAACAGGTGATTGATTTACCTGATGAGGGTTACCTGTTGCAGATGGTATTTAATCAATCAATTAGAACTTGTAACTTGTTTCTTTTGTGATTTAATTAATTAATAAGGGGATAATTTATGACTCCTGACAACAATTTTATGGCTTCACTCACTACCGAAGCTTAGACTAGTGATGCAATTGGAAATTTTAATTTTGACATTTACTATGCCGATACGGCGATAGTTGTACACATGCCGAAAAAATTGTTTATACTTGATAAAAGATTAACTGTTGGTCCATTAAATAATTATAATTGACAATTATGCATATTTTTATTATCTATAAAGCAATGTGTCCAAGCAAGTATATCATATATCCTGTCTCTTTTAATGAGTCTTCCTTCTCTTTTATAACAAAAAAACTTTCATTTTGACCGCGGGTTTACCTCCAGTGTGGCAGTTGATTTAATAAGTTTTATACACCAGCCACACTTACTTTGGACAATCACTGATTTTGGTACTTTTGAAAAGGTTTTGTAATTTCGCCAAAAGGTATGATGATTTTTTTTTAAACAGCAAAAACAATGTTTTAATTATAAATCCCAAAAGAGTTACTCCTCCTATTTTTGCTTATTTTGAAATTCTCATGTTAAAAATATATTTACTCTTAGGAATATTTATAAGTAAACAAATAATTGCCATAAACTATAAAATGGAACATAAGGTTATATCTTCAATACTCCCAATAAAATCAAACCAGTATTTGTATTCATTCAGTGTATCAACTTACCAGACCTATGATAACCGACCGTGCAAGACCCTCATGGGTAGTTAAGAACATTAAAAACCACCCACGTCGTCCAGACCTACCGAGGAAAAACCTCATGTGTAGTCAAAGTCTTTAAAAATCCCCCTCGTCGTCCAGACATTTTCAGCTAGACAAGTTCGTTGAAACCAGACTAGTGTTATAAGTACATGTAGAAATAGAAATTGACAATTCTCTTCATGCTTATGACTGAATGGAGAATATAATTTCTTTCACTGCAATAGTGTCAACAAAAGAAAAGAAAAACTCCAATGGATAAAAGATAATCAAAAAAGAAAGAATCCTATGATAACTAACCTTAAGGAGTATAGACGAAAAAGAGTTGCAACACGATGCATATTATTATCGATGCAAATATCTAATTTTTCGGTGCTATTTACAAATCCTGGAAAGAACACTGTGAATACAAATATAAAATGGGATATAACTTCATTTATAAAACAAATAAAGACACAAACTATGGATGATAGATATTTATTCACATAAATATTTCAGGACATTTGATTTATTTAAAAACAAATATAGGGTTAAAAAACTGAAAAACAAATATGAGCATTACATATAAAAATAAGGAGATGTGGAATGATTGCCAATAAGACAATTCTCCGCCAAAAATTCAAATGAAGTGAATGTAAGCAACTATAGGCAACAGTACGGCTGTCAGATAAGTTATTTACACAAACATTGCAGTGATGTACTTGATAAAAAAAAAGGGGGGAAGGGAAAGTACCTGCCTGCCTGGTCTGTTTTCAAAGAGTAGACCCGGGGAAGGGGAAACAGACATTCTTTTAAATGTGGCCTGGAATTACAGTACAACAAACCACAAACTTTCAACTTTAAAAAAAAGGATACACAAAGAAAAGATCAACACAAGGTTCAGATAGCCTGATATGGTACAAGTACTATATATTGTGGGGTAAAAAAAAATATACTTAATACTGAATGGATATAATAAGACTAAAAATAATTTATCATCGGGAAAAGTCATATTTGCCAGTTGTGTCCTAATAGGGACATGATTAATCCAGATAAGTTTTAGGACATTTAGGAAACACAATGAGGAACAGTCATTTTGTTATTCAGTGTTCAGCCTGATAATTTATAATGAATATAATCACCAATATAAATACCTTTAATTACAAAAGACACACTTCTGATATCTTGCAATACATGATTCCCTGCTAATTAAATGTTGTTTCCAGACAAATTACCTCTTCCCAGTTATTTATTGTTGTTTTTTGACACAATTATTGGTCAGCGACTGATTTCACAAAAAATCTTACAAGAAAAAATACTCAAAAGTCATGAACATTTCAATATAGATTACGATCAATTTTTATCGTAAGATTTTTTTGTGAAAAGAGCCCCAAAACTGTAAAAGGAGTTGACTTTATTGTTTGTCAGTTTTTTAATGCAAAGCGTAATTGCATAAAAAATTAAATTCCTGAACAAAATATATGATTGCAGTGATTGCTTATCATAACTGGTAACTTTTACAGATTAAAAATTGATTTGAAAAGACCTTGTTACATATAAAAAAACATTTGAAGCACCCAGTTGAAATGATTTTACAAATTACGGAGTATGCCTGGGTGAACTCCAAGCATGAACTGACTTTGAAGAACTAAAGCGCTAATTTATATCTTTAAAATGGCATGCACATAGTTATATGAAATTTTCTGTCACAAACATTGAGCAGGGGTATAATTGATCTTGTTTAAATTTGGAAAAAACTAGTAATATTATGCATGCTTTTCTCCTCATGACCTAAAACTCACTTTGGCAGTTTATGTCTTGTAACAATGAACAAGATAAACAATAAATACAAAATGGAGGCATGGTGAAGCATCTATTGAATAACCTATCCAAAAGTAATAGATGTGAAACAACAGTTTAATCTTCTAGCTGCAGATGCAATTTTATATTACTCATTGGATTAGTTGACAGAGTCATAAAAGGAATAACACCACGTATTCATAGCCACTTTGCTTTCTATGCTTCTGCAACTTCAAGCATTCATAGCTATTTTGTCTTAAGTTCAAATAAATCATTTTATGTCAAAACTATACCTTATCCTGACTTGTGCTGAAAAACTCAAAATACCATTATTGCATATTAGAGTGGTTCCTGGAAGTTGGTTCATACAAAAACAGGTACTTCTGATCTGAGCAACAGGGCAAATATGCCATCCTATCTTAATTTCATATATTTTTTTTATTATTCAAAAGAAACTTTAAAAAAAGGTTCTACAGTGATCCCAAGTCCCTAAGCTTTCATTTGATTCCAAAATTATCCAAATATTTTACTTATTGACAAAGTTATGGCTATGTGTAGGAACTATTTTGTTTAGAATATGTGCTACTTTCTTGTATGTTATTCTGACCATGCCGAATTAGTGATGCTATACCAAAAGATATTTTAACTATCAGAGAGAAGAATCTGAAGAATTGATTCTATAGTTTGCATTTATTTATGGCCTGCTGAAGTATTTGAGAGATTGCAGCAGTGAAATAATGTTAAAAGTTATATAACAATTTTAGTCTTTGTGTGATTGTATATTCTATTTCAGTTTCTTCATGAAAGTCTAGAAATGAGAAAAATCCGATACAGCTTCATTAGACATTCACGATGTTGGAGGTCAAAAATGACATTTATTCAAGTTTTGGCCTCCCGGAATTACACAGGGAGAATGATTGTAAATCATGCAACTTTAGAGATACAGTTAAATGTATGTACCTCATTTTTTTGCATTCCATTCTCTCTTTTACAGGTTGTTCAAAGAACCATGAGATACTGTATACTTTTCATCTCTCAGAAAAAATAATTATATTTTATTTTTGTAGAGATTAGAAAAAGTCATGATACAAAGACAACAACAGTATTATGAATTTCGTCGCTTCATCGCCATGAGAGCAAAATACTTCTTTATAGTTCTACTCAGTAATAGACAATATACTGGGAAAATGATGTTTAGCCATCCCAAGGAAACCCTTGAAATGTCTGTAAGTCAGAAAGACATACCAAGAAACTGTGTATCAAATATCAATTCAGGAAATTAAGAAGTTTTGTTACTATCAACAATTTCTGTTTAAGCTTTAAGCCTTTCAGTTTGTTTTGAAATTGAACTTGATCTGGAAATAAACATTTTCACTAAGATGATAAATTTGATTTCATCTTTAAAAGGTTCATAGGTTTGGGGTTTTTTAAACAAATAAACCACAAAATTAGAGGAAGTTTAGTATGCTTCAGTAAAGTGGATGTAATACCCTCCCTTTTTGATTGACCTGATATAACACTCATACCTGATCTCTGTTTTTATTGTAACTAACCATTTTAATTCAGTATTTGTCAAGAGCTTTCCAAATAATTTTGGTGGTTGTTTTTTTACTGAATTTAAATTAATGTTAATAAGATGAAATAGTGATTTTAGTGACTAAACCTATAATTTATATGATTCTAGCATGAAACTTTACAGCCTTCAAAAATGTGTTGAAAAAGTTCATTCCAAATTTCTGTGAATCAAAATGAAATTTTGCTTGGTTATTTGGTATTGTACATTGATTTCTGTTGAATTTTTTGAGTCAAGTGTAATGATGTGTAAGATTGACCTTGTTTTTTGTTTTTGCATGAAATCTAATGTTGTTTGTCTGCTTATAGTATCTTTTGAATCAATAATATATGTCAGTAATTTTAGCGTACCTGGTCCAAAGGGTCATTACTTAGCATCCATCCATTGACTTTTACGGAAAAACTGCTCCTCTAAAACTACTTGGCCAGTTGAAACCAAACTAAGCCACAATCATCCTTAGGGTGTCTATAGATTTAAAGAAAATATGGCTGATGATCCCATCTGCTGACCAACATGGCCGCTATGGCTTAAGATAGAACATTGGGATAAATGCCAATAATCATCAAATATCTTCAAAACCATTAAAGATCGAGAAATTGTGACAGGACAAAAATGTGCAGACTGTCAGAATCTACTAACTGTCCATTTTGACCAAAACTCTCTGAACCACTCCTTTTAGGAGTTTTTGACATTAAATTATGATTGTAAAAATTTTTCTCATTTTTGGCAATTACTTTGAACTATAATAATTAGAGAAAAACTTTGAATTGCAAAAATGATTAGCAAGAGGAATTCTGCAGATAACTTGTATGGTTTAAATTGTCAGTTGACTCCTTGTAGGAGTTATTCTCCTTAAATGACAATTTTACCCGTTTCTGGCTATAAACTTGAAAAAATAATAAGAGAGATACTTAAATAAGCATAAGGATCAGTAAAACAATATCTAAAAAAATCAAGATGGTCAAAATCACCAGTCAACTTCTTATAGCACTTTAATGACAATTTTAACTTTTTTTACAGAAACTTTAGAAGATAGAGGGAACCTTAAACAGTAAAAATAGAAATGCTAATAAGTCAAAATTACAGAAATAGTTTGTAGACTCTTTATTGCCCTTCAGTCAGGATTCTACTTGTCAAAATTATTTCCCCATTACGCCACCTAATTTTTATAATCGTAAAAATGGAAGCCATTGTAGTGATGACACGCTGTCAATTTAGCTCTTGAAAACCGATAAAAATATCCACATAGCATAATTACGATCCTTATATGCCAGTTGTATTTTAAAAGACAAATGTATCTACTAGCTATTGAGCATCATATAATGTAATTTTATGCATTTGGTCAACTTAAAACTATTGTCTGATCGGTTGTCAGGGGGACTTTTCGAAAGTTCAAAAATATTTAAAAAAATTCTAATTAAATATTTCGTTGGAAGGGCAGACTAAAAATTTTCAGAGGTTGAAGGCTAATTACCATAGATAACACACACAAAAATGAAGTTCTTTTGAAGTTATGCAATTTTAAGATCCACTTAAAAAGTCTGTCGTCAAGTACTTTTAGTAAAAATTGTTATTCGAACACACCTACTCTGTTGTTATGACTCATTAGAAAGGTATTTCACTTGACCCATATATTTCATTTTTTAGTACTGTAAATTTTCTATGTTGTTATATCAACCTAGAGCCTGAATATATAAAAATAATAGAATTTGAAGCGAGATAAGGATCAAATATTTTTCTTTTATACGTTTTCAAGACAGAATAGTCAACTCAAACACGCCTTAACATAAAAAGGTGTATTCGACTTTCTATTTTTGATGAATTTATTGCCAATTTTGGGGATTTTTTCTCAAAAAACTGACGCCAGGGGCAGAGATGCAAATTAATGCTTTAAAAAGATCAATCTATTATCTTTCTTTGGAATTTATGCTTATGCACAAAAAAGATCCACATGCATTTGCACCTACCACAATCAACTGTTTTGTGAAAATTTTTCCATAATTTAAAAATTTACAAATATCTCGAAGCTCCATGCCATAATTTAAGTAAAAAAACATACATAAGACGCATAAAATCCTAAATTAGGCACATTCATTAAACTATTAAAGCCCATAGAAACAGATGTAAACTATTCAAATTTACCAACTTGACCTTTTTTACCTTCTCTAACAAAGAGTTTCATTTTTATGCCCCCGCCGTAGCGGAGGGGGCATTAAGTTTTACCCTTGTACGTCTGTACGTCCGTCCATATGTCTATAAGTTCGTTCGTATGTCCCAAAGTTGGTTTCCGTTCTCTAACTTTAGTTTGCCTCAACCAAATTTTATGAAACTTATACACAATGCTTATTACCACAAAACAGATCAAGTTTGAATTTTGGTGGTGTCACTTTCACTGTTTTAGAGTTATGCCCTTTACAAATGGAAAAATTGCTGAATTTTTCGTTTCCGTTCTGTAACTTAAGTTAGCCTCAACCAAATGTTATGAAACTTATACACAATGCTTATTATCACAAAATACAGATCAAGTTTGAATTTTGAGGGTGTCACTTTTATTGTTCTAGAGTTGTGCCTCTTTACAAATGGAAAAATTGCTGAATTTTTCGTTTCCGTTCTCTAACTAAAGTTTGCCTCAACCAAATTTTATGAAACGTATAAACAATACTTATTACCACAAAACTCAGATCAAGTACAAATTTGGATAGCGTCACTTTTACCGCTCTTCATTTATGTCCCTTTATAACTTTATATGATATGCAAGTGGGGGCATCATCTGTTTCCCATGGACACATTCGCCATTTATTTAATTTTTATTTAATTTCAACTGGGTTTCCAGCTATACTCATTAAGGCATTTTTTGTGAAAACTGCTGTAGATAAAAAAAATATCAGCAAGTTGAGATCTACATATAAGTCAAAATGAATGAAATCTCTATCAACTCCTTATCTGAGTTTTTGCCCTTTAAATTACAATTTTAACCCATTTTTACCTTTTATCTTAAAAACTAATAATTGACAGACAAAAATTCTGTCCAGTGAAAATCATCAACAAGACAAAAGTTTGGCACACACAGTTCCCATTTGACAAAAATATATTCTTTAATATTGCATTGTATCCATTGTATGCCAAAATGCTGTGATAGTTACAGGTTCATTGAAGTATCTAGTTTGTATGATATTCTTTCTACAAAGAACGCAATTATATTATTTGATCTAGCAATAAAATAAATTGGATCAGAAAAATAATCAGTTGTTATAAAGAGGAAACCTCATTTTACATAAAATTTCAGAAAATTTTGATGCTATGATAATTTTACTCTGTAATGTTCAATGTGTTCAGCATTTATATGAATTGATCAAATTCTGTTTAAAGAAGTACGTAATTGGAAGAAATGAAATCAAAGTTATATATCTATGATCTTAAAAAACTGATCTTAAGGTGAATAGGGGGTCTTCATTAATATCCATAGAATTTTTTAATAATTTGTCAAAATGTAGTTTATATCATGCTTTTTTCAAAAATATAATAAAAAGTATGGGTCACTGGGATTTTTTTCACGCGACAGGTTGTGCAAAATTGTCAGATTTTATATAGATTATGCATGGAAAACTCAATTTTGTGTGATAAAAAGAAAACTACACCATAGAATTGTAAGATAAAATATGAGAAGATAGCTATAATAATATGCTTTCAGATAAGAAAAAGAAAAAATGGGGTCACCGGACTCGTTTTCTTGCTACATAATAAAATAGGTAAATTCACAACACATTTTATTATAAAAGTTACTTTATCTGAGTTATCTCCCCTTCTATCTGAGTTATCTAGATATAAGAAGATGTGGTATGAGTGCCAATGAGACAACTCTCCATCCAAGTCAAAATTTATAAAAGAAAACCATTATCGCCCTGTATGTGGCAAAGTTGAAAAAAAATGAATTCTGTTTTTTGTAAAATACAGCCGTAAATATGATAAAACACATAATTTTCTATAGTTACACGAAAAGTCTTACACATGAATTACATACTACTCTCGAAATTTGCACATTTCATTAATGATATAGACCGATTGTTATCTGCTATATCAAAATCCAAGATGGAGGAAGACACCCCAGCTTTTTATGTTTGGGCAAACCATCATGTTCAAAACTTTTTTCACAGTTTAACAATTTAATGGTCTAATAAAGTTGTTAATTTCTGTATTTAATTGAAAAAGTTCCAGTAATCATGATAGGCTAATCGAGGCAAACTCTTGATTTTGCAATTTACTGAAAAGGGCAGTCCAATCCTGAAATGATTTTTTTTATTATTTCAAATTAATGATTCTGATTTATGAAAAAACTTTCAAGTTGTCATTTTGAGTTCATGTAAGATGCCTGAATTTTTACTGTCGAACTTTATACCTCATACAAAAGGGAACACTATGCCACCAAAAAAACGGAGTAGGGGTCTAGCATGGATTAGGGCTCATTGAATGTTCTGTTTTTTGCATATAGGTAGCTGTGCAACAATAAATAACAAGCATGTTTATATGTACAGAAATATTTTAACATGGAATGTTGCTGTATGGTCAGGTTGATATAGGTTCATCCTTCTAAAATTTTCTTTAGACAAAATTCTCTTAATAAGTGCAAATCATTGCTATAAATATGTAGTGATTAAGGGGGTGCCCAACACTTTGACTAAAATACATTCAAAAACATGAAAATTTCAAGAAATTTTAACTACACAAAGGAATAATTTCATTGGATATATAGCAGTTTGACAAACACTTAATTTTGATCATCAAGAAGCTTGATTTCTAAAGAGTTAACTCCCTTAGGTGTTCTGTACCCTTAAGCTAGTTTTGCATTTCATGCATTTCATCTTCACTATTGTAACATTCATTTAATTGTGCATGCTTTATATCTGACATGTAAGCTGCTTATATGCCATTTGACAAGATTTTTTTAAAGACATTGCAGTTCAGTTTTTCAAAACAATAAAAATAGTGATGGGTATAATAAGTGTCAATAATAAATATTTTTCTTTTTTACTTTTTTTTTACCAAAGGTGAGATTTGGGTATTGCCACTGAGACAACAGTTGTGTAAACAGTTGCAAAAACTTTTATAGGATATAAAAATAAAGATAGACAAATTCATATTGTGTTCAGTTGTCTGTACTTATGTTCATCTTTATGCCTAAATATTTCGCCTACCAATGCTCATCATTCTGGCATACACATATCACCCACCAATGCAAATATGCCTGATTTTAACTTTTGTCATTATGTATGGTTATTGGATTTTAATCTAAATCATCAGAATGATATACATGTAATTTCTCATGCCAGTTCATTGAGAGAGAATTCTCTTCTGTTTATTTATGAAAAAATGAAATGTGAAATTCATTGAGTCTGTTTTGATATTTGGTCACAGTTTCTACAGAGATGTTCAAGCAATATAACAAATGTTGAGAGATATTTATTCTGATCACTTGATTATGAAATCTAGTATTGATAGAACATTCTACTGAGGCTTTGAATTTTTTTTATTTGAGATGTTTAAGACAATATCTCCAAAGTCAAACTTATTATTTGACTATTTAATAGATATTGAAAATATGTTTCACATCATAGTTTTTACACTTTCATATCTGTTAGGGGAATGGTCAACCTACTAATGTCTGATATATGTAGTACTTATCTTCATACAAAACATATCTCTAACACCACTAAATCATATTTTTCCTAATTTCGCGAATCTACATTGGAAGTTCAGTTATAAATGTCTCTCAGCAACGATTGTATTAAATATTTGCCTAAATGTCTCTACAGGAGTATGTCAGTGTGTCAATATTAATCTGATTAGTTATTTTGAGCACAGTTTGGTGTCACCACTGTTCCTGACTTCTGATTTATATATTAAACCTTTGTACTTTCTATATTAACTATTTTATACATGTATGCAAATTAGTAACTGATTTTTATCCATCCTTTTATTATTGTTCACAATTTGTTTTACCATATCTTCAAACTATTGCTGTAAATGTTATGTGCTAGGATTTCAATGAAAATTGATATAATGGTGTAATAGTTATTTCAAATCAAATCCAGGTGTCAAAAATTTTGAAAAATGTGGTATCAAGTTACTTTCTGTTAAAAATCATAAGTTTTGAGAAACATCTTTTTGTGCTAGGATTTCAACAAAATACAAATTAGGGTGCAGGCATAATTTGCTTCTCAAATTTCTGGTGTCAAATTTGCTGTTGAATTGTGGCAGTGATGAAAGTTTGGCAGATTTACTTGTTTTTTTTTGTTGTTGACCAATTTCATCCCTATTGTGGTGAAAACATAAATTTTGTTTAAAAAAAATCACAAATTTTGAGAAAATTCTTGTGCTATATTTAAACAACAATTATTATATAGGTGTAATAAGCTATTTCTTTGTGAATGAAGGTGTAAAAAAAAAATAGTAACCATTACTTTTTGCTTAAAAAATCACAAATTGAGAAGCATCTTTTTATTATTTGTCGCTGACTACTTAGAAAAATGCCTATCAAAGTACATATTGCTTTGATTTCTTAACAAAACTTTGTATTTATTGAGAACACACCCAGAATTAATTTCTGGTGTAAAAGTTTATGAAAATTAACACCCATTGTTTTAATTGAATTGTTTTTTGTGCATCACTTTCTGTGCCACTTATAAAAATGTGTAATTGTATCCTTTGCTAACATGTCAGTTTTCTAGTATCATTGTCTTGCCTATGGATTTTCCTTCTTGAAGAAACATAACATATAAATAAGAGTGAAATTCATCTTTAAATCAAAACAAACAGAGAAATATGAAACTTGACTAACAACCTTAGGGCTTATTATGCCTTTGTATCTTTCCTACTTTCACAGTGGCAGTAATATTTTAACTATCAAGCATTGTATAGCATAAAAGACTTAAAAATTGTTATTTCTTCTTACAGAAAGCTTAGATAAAAATCAGTTAATAGTAGTATTGCATTTCTATATGTATTTACAAACACTTTAGACTGATAACCAATATATTTGTTTACAGCTGACTGAAAACCATTTATATTTGATTGGTCAACAAAAAAGCATTTTACTGCAATTATTACCTCCTTTTATGTAAATGAAGTCTTTATTTTAAACAGTTCATTTCACTGTAAAATTTGGATATCAGACTAAAATTCATATATGCATCTATACTTGTGTTTGAATATACTTCATTTCTACCATTGTATTTCACTGTATTAATGCTTTTCGGTGAATAGTAGCAGCACATAGCTTTATAAACCAGCTCCATAAATTGCTAAGAATTAAAGTACAGTTTGTAAACACTGTTTGCTTGCAATAAAAGATATAGTTTTTGTTGTTATGGCAATAAGTAAAATGAATGTTTGATCAGGTTAGTTTTACAGAAAACACTTTCGATACATTATTGATATTAAGCATGCAGTTGCACTAGTATCATAGCATCACATTTAAATGGTTTTTACTTCATAATTGGTTTTAAGTATTCTCTTGTATATTTATGCTGCGAGAAATTTTCAGATTTCTAGCTCACAGACATCCTGTGTTCTGACTAAATGTATGTCATTTATGTACACAGTACATGCAGACTGTCCCAGAAGGCACGTTGATTCATGTGCAAATGATAAATCTTTTCAATTCACATTTAATAACAAATAAATAAAAATTATTTAAATGGTTGGCATTTTGAATTCAAATTTAACCATTTTGAATGGAGACATGACCTATTTTATTTGATGCAGTGTTATAATCTATGCATAAAATGTTGCCAGAGTGTACATTAATGCAAAGTAAAGTTAGTGCTGCTATTGTAAACTTGCCTTTCTTCAATGTTTTGACTTCCTCTTGATTGGGAAAAGATTGTTTAATATATTTCGGTTGAGGAATTGTTGTTAATGTTGTAATACCTGCCATTTGAGTTCAAGCACAATTCTTTCTAATAGTTATTGCATCAGATTTATTATTAAAAGTATAATTGTTGAGCAAATATATCTCAGTTATATATGCATGTACCAGTATCACCTTTTTAAAAATAACTTTTTGCTATCTGCTGAAATTTTTTATTGTACTATCATAGATTTATACTGTATATCTATATATGTATTGAAACATATACACAAACTTCTTAGGTTCAACCTCCAACTGCTGAAGGTGAAATAAACAGAGATATGAGGTCATTGTCAGGTGGAGAAAGGTCATTTGCCACCGTGTGCTTCATTTTAGCACTATGGGATGCTATGGAGTCGCCCTTTAGATGTCTGGATGAATTTGATGTGTTTATGGTAAGATTTTTTTTTTTCATTGAAAAAATGGTGTCTGCAATTTTTAGTGTAAATAGAAGTGTCTCAGCACTGCTTGGAAATAATGTTAGTATTATAATTAATTAACAAGTTGAGTTGTTTAACCTTTTCTTGTAATAAACTTGCTACACTTGTACAAGATTTATGGATACAAGGATTGCTTTTTGTCTTTGAGCAGTTGGTATTGAAAAGAAGGGATGTAAAAAAAATATTTGATACAAAGAAGTTTTGCTGTCAAAGTGCAGTTGATATTCGAAAAAAGGCCAGGATGTAAAATATAAATATGTACTGTGGATTCATTATTATTAATTAATTACCAATTTTCATTGATTTCGTGAACATAGGGATACCATGAATTTAAATGTTCAACAAAGTATAAATTTTTTATAGGCTTGTACAAACTTTTGCATAACCACAAATTCAAATATTCATGAATATACAATTTTACCTAAATCCACAAAAATTGGTACCCAAGAAAATGAATGAATCCACAGTGTGTCCTAATAATTTTTTCCTATTTGTCTCATTGCAATTGGGTTACAAATAAGGGATGTGAAATATAAATGAATGTGATACAATAATGCTGACAAATCAGATTATTAAAAAGGAGTCTTTAAAACTGTTGTTACAATACACAAACTTTTGTGTGCATTCATTTTTGCGATTGTTGAACAACTGACAAAAATGTGATTTAAAAAAATGCTGCATACAAATAATACTATCAAAATTTTAAATGCAAGTTTATTTTTTGTAAAAAACCTTTCCCATCACTAGTTTCGTAATAATTAAAACATTGCATAAATTTCTGAATTTATAGTATACAAAAAGACTTCTCTTGCAGTGATAAAATGTGTACTGAAAGTTTTAATTATACATAGTAAAAGTAAATTTTAATAGAAAATTAATGTGCAGTGCCTTTTACTATCTGTAAGTAATTAATAAAACAGTATATTTGAGAGATCTAGTGCTGTTTATTTTCAGGACATGATCAATCGTAGGATATCTATGGATATGATGATGCATGTGGCTCAGTCCCAGAAGCATAAACAGTTCATTTTCCTGACACCACAAAACATGAGGTATTATTTATAGCAGGTTATTAAACAAGTCCATCTGATCATCTAAGCCAATTTGAATTCTCCTTCGGTTGATTATTTTGTGCGACAGTCCACTGGTCAGTCCTGTATCCGGTTAAAGTTTTTAGTTAAGACAGCTTACCATGATGTTATGGTCACATCAACTTTAAACTAAGTACCTTGTTCATTATGATGTGAACTTTTAAAATTATATTGCAAATTATGATTTAAACTCAATTTCATGGCTCACTGAACAAGGAAATGTAATAATATGAAATCAGTGCATTCTCAGGTAAATGTTTTGTTTTTAAGATGGTTTGCCTTCAATTCAACTTCTTATACGCCCATCATAGACAAATTATTGTAAACTGTTTTCTCACTATCTGTTGTCAGTCCACATGTCGTACAAAAGCAAGAGAATGCTTTGATCAAATTTAATGAATATTGTACTTTAAATAATTGATTTGGTGGAAGTTTATTATTTGTTGTTCACGAGTTACAGGATCAAAACCATCAGATTTGAGGCAATTATTCACATATTCCACACTATCTGGATCAAATTAATTCAGACTTTACACTTAAGATAGGTAAATGTAAGCTTACTTTCTGTTACTACATTGTACTATGCATCAAAAACTTGAGAATGAGACTTAATATGAAAGCTAGTTTAGGATAATAAGAAGAAATACAAAAAATTGAAGGAATTCTTGATGTTTTTATTTGCAGTCAACTTGGGATTTCTATTCCTGACCTACACATCTTTCGAATGCCAGATCCAGACCGAGGACAGGGAACATTGCCATTTGAAACTGTTAACAGACAGCAAGAGGATGAAGATGAGGATTAATATCTCTACGAAAATATCATACTGCCGTCCACAATTGTATTATTGGTTTTCCAGAACCATACTATATTTAATATTTTGTGGAACCTATTATTCCTTGAGAAAAACTTTCATTTTTATGTCTCATTTGAATTCTCTCCTTTTTAGTAAATCGTTTGAAATTTTGAGTATAACATTGAAAAGAAAACTTTTAGTCTTGTTGTTTTACTCCTGCAGTCAGATTGTTTTTAAATTCTGAATTAATATACAGATTTGTATGACAGTGATGGGAACCAACAATAAACGCTAAATTTTATTGAACATGATGTGCAGTGCCGATGGTGATCTCGATCACACTGGAAAATTGTCATTTGAATTGGAAGAGATTGGATAAAAGCAGCTGCTATAAGATATTAATATGGAAAAAGTTTTTCAATAAAACTACCCTCTACTCAATATAAACGTTTCATCAACCATATCATTTTATTTTAATTGAGTGATATAATAGAGAAGTATGTCATCTGTTACCAACTTATTTTGTTCATTGAAACACATCAGTCTGATACATGTATTTAAACTTGATTTTGAAATCAATTGTTTCTTAAGCATTAATCCATGATCCATGAACTATGTAAAGGCTAACGGAGTAAAAATATGAAGTTGTATCAGTTTGTAGTATATATCATAATCAAGTTATAATGCCATCTTGATGGTAGGGTTGTTATACGACCGCAAAAAAATTTTGCGATAGTATATTGGTATGATGTCGGCGGCGTCGTCGTCGTCAGGCCGAAGACACATTGGTTTTCGCACTCTAACTTTAGTTTAAGTGAATGGATCTCTATGAAATTTTACCATAAGGTTCAATACCACAAAAGGAAGGTTGGGATTGATTTTGGGGGTTATGGTACCAACAGTTAAGGAATAAGGGGCCAAAAATAAGCATTTTTGTTACTTCCAGACATAACTTGTGTGTTAGTGTATGGATCTCTCTGACATTGTACCACAAGGTTCCATATCACAAAGGGAATGCTGGGATTGATTTTGGAGGTAATTGCCTCAAAATTTTAGGAATAAGGGGGCCAAAAAAGGGGCAAAAAACAAGCATTTTTATATGGACAAATACTTTAGTACAAAACATAATTTAAAGCAGTGTAAGGGAGATAAATCAAATACATAATTTGAATTACCTCCCTTACACTGCTTTTAAATTATGTTTAAAGAAATGCATATTTATTAAGAAAGACCAGTAAAAATATCTGCAAATGTTGCATCTTTTTTTTTACAAAAAAATCCATATGAAAGATTTGACACCATATTTTAAATTCTATTATAAAATAGATTAAGTTAGCACTATGGTAAATTTAAATGGGTAATTATGGTTGCAAATTCCATTGGAAATTTGAATTGAGATTATGACCATATCTTGAGGGAAAGAATTTTTTGGGGGAAAAAGGGGGGGGGGGGTGTAAAAAAAAATTGTGGGGGGTCAATTTTTTCTCATTTCAGATTTCAGAAATTAAGAATTATTCTTCAAATATTATTTTTTTTTCAAATTTCAAATATTGAAAAATTTCAAGAAGTAATCTTTAATTGCACAGTATGGCACATTAGATTTGTAAAATCTTTGACCACATTTATTTATTTGTTATGCCAAATCTGACCGTGTATTTAGATTTTTAATTTTGGGGCCAGTTTTCAAATTGGTCTACATTAAGGTCCAAAGGGTCCAAATTTAAACTTAGTTTGATTTTAACAAAAATTGAATATATGGGGTTCTTTGATATGCTGAATCAAAACATGTATTTAGATTTTTGATTTTGGGCCCAGTTTTCAAGTTGGTCCAAATTGGGGTCCAAAATTAAACTTTGTTTGATTTCAACAAAAATTGAATATATGGGGTTCTTTGATATGCTGAATCTAACCATGTATTTAGATTTTTTATTTGTGGGCCCCGCTATCAAATTGGTTCATATTGAGGTCAAAAGGGTCCAAAATTAAACTTTGTATTATTTCATCAAAAATTGAATTATTGGGGTTCTTTGATATGCCAAATCTAACTGTGTATTTAGATTTTTAGTTTTGGGTCCAGTTTTTTAAATTGGTCTACATTAAGGTCCAAAGGGTCCAAACTTAAACTTAGTTTGATTTTAACAAAAATTGAATTCTTGGGGTTCTTTGATATGCTGAATCTAAACATGTGTTTAGATTTTTGATTATGGGCCCAGTTTTCAAGTTGGTCTAAGTTGGGGTCCAAAATTAAACTTTGTTTGATTTCAACAAAAATTGAATATATGGGGTTCTTTGATATGCTGAATCTAACCATGTATTTTGATTTTTGGGCCCTGTTATCAAATTGGTCCACATTGAGGTCAAAAGGGTCCAAAATTAAACTTTGTTTAATTTCATCAAAAATTGAATTCTTTGGATTCTTTGATATGCTGAATCTAACCATGTATTTAGATTTTGGATATTGGACCATAATAGGTAAATTTTAAATTCTTAGACCACATTCATTCTGTGTCAGAAACCTATGCTGTGTATAATATTTAATCACAATCCAAATTCAGAGCTGTATCAAGCTTGAATGTTGTGTCCATACTTGCCCCAACTGTTCAGGGTTCGACCTCTGCGATCGTATCAAGCTGCGCCCAGCGGAGCATTTTATTTTTCATATTCATTCATTTTAAATCATATGATGGGACCAAAAATAGAACATAAGTATTGGGGGAATAATGATATTGTTACATTTGTATACATCAAAAAGTTCATGTATAAATATAAACCAGATTATGGTTAAACATTTGAAATAGCAGTTCAGTAAAAAAAGAATATGACTAAAAAGGTTCCATTTTATCCAGTGAATGTTTTTCGGCAATATTGTGAATGATTTTTTTTTTATGAGAAGTAAAACTTAGTTTTAACTTAATTTACTCTACCTTGTGAACACAGTGTGCTCAAGTTCTCTGTAAATCTAGTCAAAAATGAATTTCTTAGTATTAGTATATGAATATGTGAAGAGTGCTTTGTATAGTTTCTGTAATTTTTGTTATTAAAGTAAGGAAGCACAATATCGACTGACAATGCAGTTGTAGAAATGTCTTTGTAACTGATGTTTTTGTTTACATAGACCTATTTTCAAAACTTATTACCATACGTAAAATGTTTTGCAAGTCTCTCAACTATGATTAAGCATAACAATGTTCTGAGCTATTTGTCTCTCAGAAAAAATATTGGGAACTATCATCATAAGAAAGTGCAATAATCTAGCATAAAACTTATAAAAGTGTTGAATGCAATGAAAATTAATACCAATTTTAGTTGTCTCATTAGTTGTGCTGTTGAAATTTGTGTTATGGTGAAATTTTTATGAAAGATTACCAGTTTTGATATCTTCATACAAAGACATGTACTTTTGTTGAACATTTACTAACCAAGGTAACATCACCATATACAGTTTTAGTCATCTTTGTTATCAAATTTTTTACTTGTGTTCAATAGTGCCTTAATAATTGTGCTGTTAATAAATTCTTTACTTTTGTGTTTACTTTGATGTGTTATGTTTACCGGTTGTAATGCCTTGCTTTTTATAGCATTTACTTCTGTAAATTGGGAACATATTAGGACATGGCCAGATATTTAAGCCTTTATAAAGAACAATTTGATAAATGACCAATTCCTCCTTTCAAAGATTTTCTTTGACTATGTTATTATTAATGTAGGTATTACATTCCTGGTAATATGTATCATAAGACCTGACGTTAGGTATGTATACTAAGATTGCAGCATCTCATTGGGTCCGGTGGAAATTAAAATTCAGATATTGCAGTATGATTGAAGTGTTACTAAAAGCTTTAAAATCAACGGTTGTAGGGAAAATAAAGTTAACAATTTTCAGGTTATACCATCTCCTGTATATCAACCTTTTATCAGATCATCTTTCAATCAATACTAAAACCCATAAATCAGATGGGTGCTTCATAGGAACTAGGCTGAGTGAAATCCATATGAAAAGGGAAGAACTGAAGGATTGTTTTCATGCCTGTAGACACATGGATTGTCTGTGTGTCAATTTCTTTGATATTGCCATATGACATGGCAAACTGCCTCAGTGGTCTCGTGGTAAGATGCTCCTATTAAGTGCAGAAGGTTGATGATTTGATCCCTGACTTGATCAAAACAGAGACTTGATAATTGGATTTTGATGCCTCTGCTAAGCAAGATGCTCCACTATAACAATGTGTTAATTTATAGGATTAATAGAATTTGTGATACTGAATTTCACAAATTTTTCAAAAAGCAACTTGATTTAATTAACAAAGTCAATTGAAATGTAATAAAACTTGTCTTATATCTAAAAAAAAAACAATGATCAAAATTTCAAGGTAAATGTACGCTAAAATTTTCAGAATAGATCAGACTGCACAGTAACCTAGTTTGGAGTTGTTGGCCCAGAAATGTCTGTTTTATGTAAATTCTGCATTTTTATGCCCATGGAAACTTATGTAAATAGAGAGCAAATGTGTACATGTATTGCAAACATAACCAGCAAGATTTTCAAATATTTTAGTGTTATTAGTGAAAACTATAGTAGATGGAAACTGTAAAAAGCTAAACTGATCAGCAAGACATGATCTACAAATAGTGTAAAATGGCTGAACATATCAGTTTCTTCTTCTAGTAGTTGTTGCTCTATGAGTCTAGATTGACAGTTTTTACCTGTTATTTATGTTTTTGTCTATTATCTTAAACATTTTATTAGATAAAAAGAAACTTTAATCATGATGAGCTAAACATGATCTACAAAAAAGTCATTATGACTGAAATCAACAATTGATTTCTGAAAGGAGTTATTGCCCTTGATTGATAATTTTCATCCATTTTTGTCTACAGTTTATGATGAGGTCAGTTTAATAGGATTCTATAAAGGTAAGCCATTGTTTTTGGAAATTTTATCAGATTCAGGCTTCTGGGAAATTAGTTTACGAAAATTTTATTGATGACATTTAACACGGCCATATGTAATTTATTGATGTAATATGCTTAAGATATTCAATTTACAAAAGATTGTGTGTGTGTCTGATACCATATATATTCAAGAAAAACATTTAATTCAAAGTACACAGAAAGAAGTACATGGTGCATGAATCTATCTGTTCTACCTGCAATTTTATAGCCAAAGGGACATAACTCCAATTCTTTATATTGACAAAATATGTATCTTTATCAATACAATATCTGAAATGTTTAATTTAAGTTCACAATAGAAATTCAAAGTAGTATTCAAACCCTCACAAGCACTTTGATTAGCTCCAGAATTCTCCAATATTACGGACACTGTGACCTTCTTTTCTTGCTAGAGCAACATTTGATTCTGTTTGTCATTAACTTCCATTGTCCTCTTCACACTTTATAATGATAAATTCTTCTTTTGGTCCCTTGTTGTCACTTAAAGCTTGGAAAGAGTCGTTAGATTGGTCAGAATTCACACCATCTTCATTTGATCCCTGTGTTACTATACTTGTGGATTTGCGTTTACTTAAGCGTGATGGCAAAATTGATGCTGAGGCCACAATACCACCTAAAATGAAATAATATATGTAAATAAACATGTATGAGTCATTCCATCAAGACAAAGTAAAACTAGTATACAAAAGGCAAGTAGTCTGTGCTTTCATACTTGCATGCTGCTCTGGATAACATGACATGAAGTTAACTGCTAACAATGATTGCTAGAGTTCATAAACACAGGTTTCCTGATATTATATTTATATTATTTTAGCTTTAAGGTATTTGAGCTCTAGAAATACAGAAATCCCTTTCTCCTGTAATGAAGTAAGACACATTTTATTGGGTCAGAATGGATATGCTTTATATATAAATACATAGTAAGGTAGAATGTTATCCCATCTTTACATCTCATTTATCAGTTGACTGTTTTGTTGTTAAACTTCTTCAGTCAACATCCCATTAACAATTGTGACCATAATGGAATTAATAGTAACCTTTATGAACCAAGTCATTCTCTTTAAATTCTATTTTCCAGTTCAGCAATAAGTCTTAAGAAAATATGCATTACTCTTATGATTTGAAATTTTGCTGCATATGTTTCCTTTAGATTGTAAGTGTAAATCTTACATTTGTATATCCAACATAGTGTGAAGGACACAGACTAAGATCATTTAAGTATTCTTTTAACACTGATAGTCATTAAACTGACCTTCTTTTGCCAGCTTTTTTACTTCCTTTCTGCTGTTGGCAAACCAATTTAAAACCATATGAGCTGTCACCTTTTCCTTTTCATATAATGGCCTTGCTCCTACAATACAAACATATCTTATGCTGCAAAAGCATGATTAAAGTTAAGATGATATGAAGCAGACATGTAATCAACATGAAACATCACAAAATATACATATATCACCACCCTTTTTTAATAAAGCTAGGAATTACAAAAATGTATTTCAAAATGATGATGTAACCTACTGTAGGTTTCAAAATTCAGTTTAGACTTTGGTTAAAGTTTATATTTGAGATAGTCGAATGTAAAATAATATTCAAAGTAACAGTCTGCTAGAGGGATGTGTAATAACCTTCCCTAGCCATTAGGGTTTCACATGATTGGCCGTGACTTTTAAACCTTGCATTTAGTACAGTTTAATTTGTTTATGTAGAGTACCTTATGTTTAAACTGGAAAGCCAAGACTTCAGCCAGCCACATGTTACACTTCTTTCGTTTGATAAAAACCACTTCCCTCCCATAAAAGTCTAAAACAGTAGACTTTCTAAATCAATAATTGTCCTCATTTCATGCTTGATTAAGGTTTATCATCAATTCATAACTATTAAACTAGAATGGCTGTATACACCACAAATTAAGTAGAGAATAACCTGTGTAGCACCTAGATATAAAAATTAGAAGATGTGGTATAATTGCCAATGAGACAACTCTTCACCAGAGACCAAATGACATAGAAGTTAACAGCTATAGGTCACAGCCCTCAACAATGAGCAAAACCCATAACGCATAGTCAGCTATAAAAGGCCCTAAAATGACAAATGTAAAACAATTCAAATGAGAAAACTAACGGCCTGATTTATGTAAAAACACAATGAACGAAATACAAATATGATATACAGCAACAAATGACAACCACTGAATTACAGGCTCCTGACTTGGGACAGGCACATACAGAATGTGGCAGGGTTAAACATGTTAGCGGGTGCCCAACCCTCCCCCTAACCTGGGACAGCGGTGTAACAGTACAACATATGAACAAACTATAAAAATAAGTTGATAAGGGCTCAACTCATCAGATCACAAAAACACAGACAGGGCGTGGCAGGGTATTTATACATCCCTAAAACAAAAAAAGACAAGTACAGATCTGAGAGTACTCTCAGTTACTGACAGCTAGTTGTATGTTAAATGCATTTTGTGTTGTACACCGCCTCTGTGGTAGCGTGTTCACCTTGGAGGTTGTGGGTTCAAACCAAAGACTGTAAAATTGGTATTAGCTGCTTCTTTGTTAAGCACGCTGCATTAAGGAGTAAAAGCAAAGGCTGGTCAACTTGGAGTCAGAATGTCTTCCTGTGGACTGTTACCTTGTGAACTAACACGTTAAAAATCCGGCAACTAAATGTGGTAAAAATCTTGGAGATATATTAAGATAATTGGAGATAATTGGAGGTTACAATTGTATTGAATGACTGGTAGACAATAGAGGAACAATAGGTGATATAAACTGTGTAACTGAGTGGACAGTATCAAATGAAAATTCAGGTATTTGTTTATTTTACCATCTACTGCAGTGATGAAAAAAAACTTGAAATCCAAAGAAAGATATTATTTTTCTGAAACACATTCTATATATAGATATATGTGCTTCCAGGCCATACCCCTTTTCCAGTTAGACATGTTTATCTGTAATCTGAGTAAATTTTGTGGTGTAAAAGCAGCCATTTTAGTCAAATGGTTATGATGCACCTTTAAATTTTTGTCCAAGTGACAGTGATTCCACAGTGATCAATGGTTTATTTGTCAGTCCGAATTGTTAATCCTCAAATCCTTTATAACCAGATCAAATCAAGTCATTTGTTGATGTAAATTCAAACAATGGATTACTATCAAAACTGCAAAATCCAACACAATACAGAAGCAGTTGATTCATTACAATAGAGTTATCTCCCATACTAAATCAGTTCTTAAGACATGAGCTACCTCCCCTTCCCCAGTAACTTATAGGGTGTGGATTTCAATGATTTTTTAAGATGATCTAATGGTCCCTCATTGTACACTTTTTTTTATCCCAATGATTTTTGGTGTTCCTCATAACAGAACTTAGACTTTCCTCCTTGGTATCTTTTTTTTGTAGTTAGAAAAGGATGTAAATTACCATTATTACTTATAGCCATATTACACTTATCAGCTATGGTTTCTCTCTGTTCATATGTTGGATATGGGTTCTCTTTAAAGAAAGCTTCCAGTATTTCTAAATGTCTTTCCCTGAAGGTGAATCTTTCTCGTCTTTGATATGAAATTGTTACTTCCTGACCATCCGGCATTGTCACTGTTTGACCTTGTGTAGGTGTACATGTACTAACAAATAAATAAAATCTACATTAGACAGTAACTTAAACATGTATGTATTAATCTTAGCATTTATGTAGTGCATTTACCAAATGACTGGCTTAAAAGCTTATATTTCATGCAAAGAACATAATAAAACTGAAAATGGTTTCATTATTATTTAATAAAACATTCAAGAAAGTTGAAATGAGATCCGGTAAAATTCAGATGTGAAATATATACCCAATAATGAATTACTCCAATTACAGATTATTTTTTGAAAGACCATTCAGTTTTTACACTGGAGGTTAGCCTGAAAATGGGTGTGATAGCTATTGACATAGTGTGGAAAGTTACATCCTACTGGAATTTAAATGAAAAGTCTAAACTAAAAGTATTCAAAAGTTTTTACAACGTTTTGAAATATTTCAAAACTGAAAATGCTTTTTAGTGGAGTTTAGTGAGATTATATTCAAATGAATAATCCACTGGTATATAAAACAATCTGGGTTATATGAGAAGAATATGTCATCTTAATAACATAAAGGTATTTTTGTCGAGCCTTCGACTTAAGTCGAAAAAGCGAGACATAGCGATCCTACATTCCGTCGGCGTCGGCGTCGGCGTCGTTGTCGTCGGCGTCGTCCACAAATATTCACTCTGTGGTTAAAGTTTTTGAAATTTTAATAACTTTCTTAAACTATCCTGGATTTCTACCAAACTTGGACAGAAGCTTGTTTATGATCATAAGATAGTATCCAGAAGTAAATTTTGTAAAAATAAAATTCCATTTTTTCCGTATTTTACTTATAAATGGACTTAGTTTTTCTGCCGGTAAATATTACATTCACTCTGTGGTTAAAGTTTTTAAAATTTTAATAACTTTCTTAAACTATCCTGGGTTTGTACCAAACTTGGACAGAAGCTTGTTTATGATCATAAGATAGTATCTAGAAGTAAATTTTGTAAAAAAAATAAATCCATTTTTTCCTTATTTTACTTTTAAATGGACTTAGATTTTCTGCCAGGAAACAACACATTCACTCTGTGGTTAAAGTTTTTAAAATTTTAATAACTTTCTTATACTATTTTGGATTTGTACCAAACTTGGACAGAAGCTTGTTTATGATCAAAAGCTAGTATCTAGAAGGAAATTTTGTAAAAAAAATAAATCCATTTTTTTCCGTATTTTACTTTTAAATGGACTTAGATTTTCTGCCAGGAAACAACATATTCACTCTGTGGTTAAAGTTTTTAAAATCTTAATAACTTTCTTATACTATTTTGGATTTGTACCAAACTTGGACAGAAGCTTGTTTATGATCAAATGCTAGTATCTAGAAGGAAATTTTGTTTTCTTCCAGTTAACATTACATTCAGTCTGCAGTTAAAGTTTTAAACAGTTATTTTAAATCATAAACTATCCTGGAATTTTACCAAACTTGGACAGAAGCTTCTTACAATCAAAAGATAGTATCAAGAGGAATATTTTTATTGATTTACTTCCTCATTTTTGTTGAGTCTGCGATTAACAGAAAAAGTAGGCGAGACACTGGGTTCCGCGGAACCCTTACGAATTTTTGAAGATATCTATCAAGTGGTGTTATGTTGGGTTTTTTATATATTTTGTCTTTAAACTATTGATTCCTCCAATCAAAACTGACAGCCATGATCTAGCCAACAGTGCTGAAGTGTCATTTAACATCATTACATGGGACAAATTTTTTTGGTATTCTCATTAAAGTCTTTAGGAAAACAATATATTCTTCTTTTTCTTAAAGCTTTTGGTATATCACAAGCCTGTAAACACTAAGGTTGTGAGTTTGAATCCTGCATGTGGCAGGTGCATTCTACTCCAATATTAATTGACCAGGGTTGCCAGTTTTCTTGTTGAAGGTTGGTGGTTCTCTCTGGCACTCCAGATTCCTCCACCAATCAAAACTGACAATCACAATATAGACAATAGTGCTGAAAGTGGCATTTAACACCATCAATCCATCGATTATAATTTTGGTAAAGAAACTGCTTACAACCAGAGTTTTTTTTTCATGAATTCATGTTTCATACCCTTTCAAACAGAGATGTTTTATTAAGAATTCATTACCCAATCTTTTCTATTACTGCACTTTCTATTAACTCAACAACACCATTTTTTGAATCCATTTCTATTAAATCTACTTTTTCTGTTGTTTTTTGCTTTTTATTTGGAACTGTGCTGTAATTGTTGGATACATTAACTGTTGCTGACTGGATAGATTGAGGGTGTAATTCCCCTGATTTTGTTCTAGTTACAGTAGAACTCTGATTGGCCAATTTTGAATTTTGAAATCTTTCTAGCCTTTCAACTGTTGTGTTCTCAATTCTAGAATTGTCATACTGTGAAGCTTTATAGTTTCTTGTATCATTATTAAAGTTGTCATTATCATCCATGGAAAGATCTATAGTTGAACAAGACAGATTTGTTAACTTCTTATTAGCTTGCTGGGATGCAGTTCTGGATATTGTAAACTGTTTATTTGTATCATGTGATGATGAATTTATCATTTGATGATCAGCAGATTCATGTGTGCTTGATCTAGTCATAGATTGATTAAATGATGTCTGTAATGGTGACAATAGATCATGTTGATGAGTTCTTGTAATATGTGAATGTTGTGTGGCATCTTTGTTCACTGGTACATCAAATAAAGAACCTAGTTCTCCATCAATTCTTTCTAAAGAATCAAAAGCTTCTATAACTTGCTGTTTAGTTATTCCACTGTTACGAAGTCTTCGGATAAGCTCTATCTGTTCAACAGAAAACATGTTGATTGGCACATTCAGAATACCAGGCATTATCTGTAAAGCAAGTGGAAGAAAATGGTCAGTTCTTTGCACTAAGAGGACAGTGGGATACAACTACATTGTACATGTATTATAAAATTGTAAACTGGTTACAAAGTGTTATACATGTATATACTTTCAATTTTTAACAAATATGAATATGCATGAAATATATACATTTTTGGCATTGCACAAGTCATGCCTTCTTTGACTGTTCATGACGTTAAAATACTAAATCCCTGGGATGTATTTTAGTTGATTTTAGTCTCTGATGCATGATTTTTTATTATTAATTGTTTTGGCTTTGAACTAGCTGTCAGTAACTGCGAGTACTCTCAAATCGTACTTTCTTTTTAATTTGACCTGTTGATACTATTTGTAATGCTTTTTTGTTATTTAATGTTAACATGGATCTTGTCTATATACCAGCTTTAATTATTTGGTATTTAATTACTACAAATTTTCACTTCTTCGTACTATGAACATCAAAATTATTTCATTTTTCCTTAGATGCTATTCTTGGACCTGTACAGGAAGTTTTATCTAGCACTAATTGTATATTTTTATTGTTGATATTCACCCCATATGTACCAAGTGTTAGATTAGTTTTATTGATATTAAAGAAATTTCTTGGTATTCCTAAATGGAAGATTTTATACACACAGAAGAAGAAGTATACATAACAACAAAATTATTTTCATTTACCTGTGTATAATATGACGCTGGTTTCTTCAAAAGTGATGATTTTTTATAAATTGTTTGAAATTTCACAGTGATAACATACTCTAACTTTGTTTAAACCTGTTTATTTACTTTTGACTTTAATTATTTATCCCTTGTAATTTTTTATTAACTGTGTATTTGCATTCAGGTGTCACAGGTCAAATTTATTCATTCATTGTGTGTTAATTTACGTTTTTTGATCGAGTTAAGCCTTCCAATTGATATTTTATAGTGTGTTTTTCTATGTTGTGATGTTATACTATTGTTTCAGATAAGGGAGAAGGTTTGGTACCATTAAAACGTTTAATCCCGCTGCAAATGTTTGCACCTGTCCTAAGTCAGGAATCTGATTACAGTAGTTGTCGTCTGTTTATGTAGTTCATACGTGTTTCTCGTTTCTCGTTTTTATATAGATTAGACCGTTGGTTTTTCCGTTTGAATGGTTTTACACTAGTAATTTTTTGGGGCCCTTTATAGCTTGCTGTTCTGTGTGAGCCAATGCTCCGTGTTGAAGGCCGTACCTTGACCTATAATGGTTTACATTTATAAATTGTAACTTGGATATAGAGTTGTTTCATTGGCACTCATACCACATCTTCCTATATCTATGTATCTGTGACATAAAACAGACAATGGTCAATCATTTGGCTATCCTTTTAAAACAATATTTTCAAATAAAAGCTGATGACAATAGAAGTTGCCTTAACCTTTTGTCTATCAGCTTTTGTTGTCAGAACTCCTCTTCCATTTTGGGTCACAGTTCTTTCCTTTATTATCAATGTTCCTCCTGAGGCCTTATTGTACCGTACCATTATCTGAACAGATTTTTATTATTATAGAATGTATCAGAAATGTGGTGCTATAATTTTTAATAAGGAAACAGTGAATTTCCAAAGATACATGTAGTTCTTTAACATAAAATGGTAATTAAATTCAAAATGAAGACATATCGGTATATATTGTTATGATAGTCATAAGTTTCACTTAAAAACAGTAAACTTTTGATTTATTAAAAAAGTCAAAGATTTTTCTTTTTTATTTAATAGGGGAGATAACTCAAATAATTTAGTTTTATAAATAAAAAGGTACAATGTAATCATGAAGCTACATGTAGATGAATACATCCTTTGTTTTTGCTTTTGTAGGTTAAAATTTCAAAACAAAAAAGAAGTAGACTCGAACATGTCTGAATGTCATACACTTGCCTGCCTAACTTGTTCACTATCAAATTATTATTTATTTAAGGATTTTTTCCACTTCAAAATACTATAGTTGAAGGCAGAGATAGATGTTAATGCTTTTTCATGTATTAAATTAATCTTTTAAACTTGTAGAAATTTTTTTAAAGCAATTTATGAGGCTTTTAAATGATTCTTTGTCTGAAATGAAAGCTACACATTATAATTAAATAAATTGGAATTTATTTCATATAAGTATCTCATATGTCTTCAAAGTGATATACAAATTATATAATAAACATTATACAATTATATAATTAGATGAATTAAATCTGTTTAAATCAATTCAAAATAATTTTTAAAAAATCTCTATCTGGACCATATTATCATCAAGAAAAAAAGGAAGATGCAATGCTATTTGTTTGTTGTTGTTCAAATTCTTTTTGGGTGGGGGGGTCAAATAAAATATAACTATATTCTATTGTAAAATACCAAATATATGTCGGACTACAAAAAAGGTCAACATCCTAAATTATTTATACCATCTTTGGGTTGTGCTGTCATCAACAAATCATTATTTTCCAACTGACAACATTGATTAAGCTTAGATCTTATATAAAAGTGCAAATGTATAAATGTGAACATTTCTTTACAAGGATTTGTATACAAATCCTTGTTTACAACTAAGAAGTTCACAATATGGACTGTTTTAGACCTCTGGTGAATGTAAACTTGTACTATAAAAACAAATAGTGTCAAATTCATAGGATTTGACACTTGACACCAAAAAACGTCGTTATAAAGTGAAAATGTAGATTGAATTGAGTTAACAAATTAATAAACCTTTGCTTACCTAGTCATGTTGTGGTTAAAAAGGTTAAACAAGTTACTGAAATGTTTTTGTCAACTTCCGTCTAAAGTTTTTCACTCTTCATTTAACCATTTAACTATTGTTTTAAAATTATGACTTTTGACACGAACATTTTTAATTATGAAGTCTTGTTCCCTCTTATAATTCGACGCAACACATATGGTAACACAAATATTTCAGAGAATATTAATTATCCGTCTTGGAAGGAAAGTAAACGTACTATGACCGACAATTTTATTTTTGATATTACGCCTAACTACGTTTACCAATCTATTTGGCATTTTTAACAGTCTTTTTGCTTAAATTACAATAAAATTTTAAATGAATAAAAAGCATGCTTAACTTTTTAGTGATATCTGAAACCTATTTGTGGGTTCTGCATATTTTTTTTTTTAGAAATTTATTTTCAACTTCGTAAGCGACCAAATATCCGGAACAGTGTTTGGTTTCTATGTGCAGTCAAAAAATGTTGTCCACTTTCATTTGAACTTGTCAAGAAAGGTACAGGTAAAGTGACATGTCAGCTTGGGTCAGTCTCGTTAATCAGAATGATCTGTCACTGCGATTAATAATGACAAATGTAATTAAGCAAAATTAAAATTTTGAAGGCCTCTCGAAACGGAATTCGTTTCCAAGTTGATATTGATAATGGAAGGTGAAAATCATAATGACAATGAAGTTACTTTAGAGATAAAGGATAAGATGGAAGATGTTAATCAGTTTGATTCAGTTTCTAATGTCGTATCACAACCAGATAAATCGAGGGACAATGCAAAATCTGTACTGAAAGACACCACTAATCTGTCCCATGTCAAGAAGCATGATATAGTTCCAAGTCTTGGAACACCAATCAAACTTAAGAAAATGAAAAAAGGTATATTTGTATCATATTCCCCTGATGCTGGATTTTTGGAGCGAAAATTTGTTGTAGAAACTATTAGGCAGTTAAAGGAGAACAACTTGGCAGAAGACATATGGTTTGACAAGGATGAAAAGAACACAGACAGTCCTTGTTGGTTTTCTATGAGAATGGAAGCTGTTGAAAAGTGTCGTGCAGCACTAATATTTCTATCAGACAGCTATTTTATGTGTCCAGTTTCAGTGTATGAAGGAAAAACATTATATGAAAGGAAGAAAGCATCACCAACATCAGTTGAAATATTCCCTGTTTTGTTTTCTTCAATGGAGAAAACAGAGTTACCTCGTGAATATTCTAGTATTTTAAAAAATCTTGTAGATTTGACTCAACAACATACTAAACTTAGTTTAGCAGAGAAAGCATCTGTTGTGATTGGTGCAGTGATGGAAAGTTTGGAGAAGTTTGCTACAATAAACACGCCACCTACACCCATCACACCACCTGATACTGAATTCAGTGGAGATTACAAAAAGAAGAAAATTTGTCAGTGGAGCCCAAGTGACTTGCAAGAATGGATTTTCAAGTTAGGTGTAAAAGAATTCTATCAGCAAAGCCTAGCAGAAAACATGGTTGATGGATTTTTGTTGATGTCCCTGACAGACCAAGACATGATAAACCACCTTGGAATTGACAGTCGTGTAGTACGTAAGAAGATAATGCAGCAGATTCTGCAGACACTTGATAAAGAACACCGCTCAGTAGACAACTGGCATCTTCGATCCAGAGCACAAAGATCAAAACCAGATGTCATATATCTGATTTATGACCCAACAGATGTGAGATTAGCACAAAATGTTAAAGCTGACTTGAAAAAGAAAAACTTGCAGGTAAGATATTGTTTATATACATGTTTGATATGTCAAGTCAATTTCTCATGTTCTATAGTTTATATGTCAAGTCAATTTCTATAGTTTGATATGTCAAGTCAAATTCTCATGTTCTATAGTTTAATATGTCAAGTCAATTTCTATAGTTTGATATGTCAAGTCAAATTCTCATGTTCTAATAGTTTAATATGTCAAGTCAATTTCTATAGTTTGATATGTCAAGTCAAATTCTCATGTTCTAATAGTTTGATATGTCAAGTCAATTTCTCATGTTCTATAGTTTGATATGTCAAGTCAATTTCTCATGTTCTATAGTTGATATGTCAAGTCAATTTCTCATGTTCTATAGTTTGATATGTCAAGTCAATTTCTCATCTTCTATAGTCATGATAGTTTGATATATGTAAACAACTATAGGTCACCATACAGCCTTCAACAATGAGCAAAACATTTACAGTTTAACTAGCTATAAAATGCCTGACAAGACAAAATGAAATAAAAACAACAGCCTTATTTATACTAAAAAAAATAAGTAGAAAACAAATATGGCAAGCAGCAGCCAAGGACAACCATTATGCATTATAGGTTTCTGACTGGGGATACCACATTATGAATGTTAAACATGTTGGTGAGCACTCAATCCTCCCCTAACATGCCTTACCTTAAGCTTGAACAATTGTGTTAGAGCACAGCATCAGAACCACCAAATGTGAAAATCAGTGGAAAAGGGTTCTATTCATACAGATTTCTCGAAATATTTTTTAGCCTGGTCCTGGTGGTCATTAGGACCACCAAGAAGACTTCAAATTTGGTGGTCCAAGTGTGAATTTTGTGGTCCCGTATTTGCAGAAAATACTTGCTATCAATAATTTCCATTGTAGGTACATGTATAGATAGGATTAGGCCAATTGCACAATAATTATATGGTTACCTATTAAAAATTGAAATACATTGTAATCAGAAGCTATCCAGACAGCCAAAAAAAACCAAAAAAAACCACCACAAACTTAAGGGGGAAATCACGTCCAATACTAATTCAAAATTGATGGACCTACCTGATTTTTGGTGCTCAGGACAGACAGAACTACCAGTTTTCGAGGACACTGCTCATCAGATCAACATAAAGCATTAAAAACAACATAAAAAAGACAAAATGTACCAATCTTAGAGTACTTACAGTTATTGAAAGCTTAAGTTCAAAGCCAATTTCAACTAATAATGAACAATGTTTTCCCAGACTAAAATATCAATTAGTGCACATCCAGTCTAAATGTAAATTTTGTAACACTATCTCATCACTGCTCATGTCTAACCACAAGAAATTACCAAAAATAACCATGATAACCATAGATTCATGTTACCAAAATAAACCATTGATAAATGTAAATTTTCTTAACACCAAAATATGACATAGTATGAAATTTTGAAATGAAAATTGAAAGTGTGTTCATGACAAAGGATACACATGATTATTTCAGATAGGTTCAACAAAGACATTGAAAGATAAAATGTCACAAAAATTAAATCAGAAAATTTAACAAGCCTGGAGTTAATACATGTAAACTTTTAAGCAGTAGTATTTTCCCCTGAATTTATCAATTGTGTATGTGTTGAAAATGACAATTATTTATGATCTTGCATACACATGTATTTTCAATTTGGAAATAATGTTTAAATTACACTGGTTATGCGTTATGTGTCCATATGTAATGCTTCTTTGATAAAAATTGAGTGGTCTTTATACAAGTAGTAAAAACTTTATTTCAAAGACATATTATGGAGTCATAACTTATAATCAGTTGAGCAATTGAGACATTTCAACTGCCTTGGTGGTCTCGTTGTAGTGTATTTGCCTTTAGTGTGGGAGGTTGTGGGTTCGAACCCCTCCTGGGTCTAACCAAAGACTTAAAAATTGGTATTTTCTGCTTCTCCCCTAAACACGCGGTAAGAGCAAAGAGTTGGAATAATATGTCCTGGTAAAGTGACATGTCTTCATGCAGACTGTTACCTTGAGAACTAGCACGGTAAAAATCCGGCTCATCATGTCTGTCTAGTACAAAGCAGGGTTAATATTCATATTACATTAACATGTCCTTAATTTGCTGCTGGACTTTAACAGCCATCTATCATCATCATCGTCTCGTACTGAATAAGAATATTAATTTGTTGTTGGACACTAAGCAGCCATCCATCATCATCATCAATTGAGACATTTCACTGTGTACATTCTTGTTGTAACGTAACTTGTTGCGGGGGACAAGGAAATACCGGGCGTCCATCCGTTTGTCCGTCCGTCCGGTCTTGTTAGCGCTCTCACCGGTACAATTCTTGCCAGAATTTTATAAAACTTACTATAGGTTAATATTAGCAATATCTCGGACAAGTTCTATAACGATCGACTTTTTTTAAAAGAGTTATGCCCCTTGGAAATATTAAATTTATGGAAAATGGCATCATTCGCGCTCTCACGGGTACAATTCTTGCTAGATTTTTATATAACTTGTGCTATAGGTTAATATCAGCAATATCATGGACAAGTTCAATAAAGGTGGACGATCGACTTTTTTTAAAAGAGTTATGCTCCTTGGAAATATAAAATATGTGTAATGTGGGGGACATTGCAACTCTTTTCTTTTATTTTATTAAAAATAGGTTAGATTGATTGATTAATTGTTGCTTGGTTAGTGTCTTAATATACAAATGTAGTTCAGAATAACCTTTAGTAATCATAATAATAATATCATTAGCCAAGTGCTTTCGGGGGAGATTTTTCATGACAATACACATACATGTAGTTCATAAATCCCTAGTGTAAATCTTGCGTAGTTAAAACCGAATAAGGCAAAAATTCCAGTTAGTGTCCACAAGCTATAATGTACATGTAAAACACTCAAAATAATACTATTTTTGTTGACATTGTTAAAAAAGAAATGTGTGCCAGTATTGAATGCGATATACATGTATTCAACAGTAAACCAGAGGCGGATTTAGAAGGTTTTTCAGGGGGCCTGGGCCCCCCCTTTTGAGGAAAAAATTTGGTTGATTACATAGGAAATCACTGAAGCATGACTGGAGCGGGCCCCCTCTTAGGCAGTCAGTGGGCCCCCACTTATGAAAATTTCTGGATCCGCCACTGTAAACCCAGACTTGGCACTGGTATTATTAATGACTGTTGAATATTCCACAATTTATTTATTCATTTAAGATTTCTTCCATTTTTTATTAACAGTCAACTGTTACACAACACTGTATATAAAAGATCTGTATCAGAATAAAAACATTCTCTCAGTCAAAGTTAAGTTTCTAATTCGATGTTATATGATCCCAACTTCTTCATTTTTAGTCCCCTACTGACGAAGTCAAAGTCAAAGGGGGCTTTAGATTTTCACTCCGTCTGTCTGTCTGTCCATACGTCAGTTGGGCAAATCAGTTTTCCACAATTGTTTTCTTCGTGCTAGAAGATATTGATTTGATATTTGGTGTATTGTTTTATCATGACAAATTACAGATCAAGTTCGAATTTTGTTCCGGTCTGATGATTTTGTGCAGAGTTATGGTCCTTGTACTAAGAAAATTCACTTAAATAATCAGTTTTTTTCTTCATGCTTGAAGATATTGACTTGATATTTGTTATATAGTTTAAACCATGACAATTTATAGATCAAGTTAGCATTTTGTTCCAGTACAATGAATTTTTAACCAGTAGGGGACTATGTATTGCCATGCAATACTCTCAGAATGCTTATTTCTCAAAATATAGGGTTATATTCAATAGCTTAAATCAATATCAATAAAGGTAGCCTATCTGTTTATTAATATAAATTTCATTTTGACACTGTAAATTAACATATATATAGCATTATTAAATATGACCTGTCAAACTTTTCAATGACAGATTTACCTGGTCAATTTAACACAAGTGAAAACAATTTATAAACCTTTCTTTGGTAATATTTAAAATTTTATTGAATTGAATATATGGATATTGACAAATGATTTGAACACAGTTTCAATGGATACATCTGACTAGTATGCATTGATTGTTTAAACATTTGACATGTTCAGGGATAACAAAAGTAAATATCTTTCTAATAAATTAAATGATCAGCAAATATATGCGTAAGAAAAACCTTTGACCTTAGAGTCAATATGATTTATGAGACATTATGCACCTCGAAAAACGCATGTACTACATGTACATATAGGTCACTTTATTGAAGTGGTTTATGATTTCTTAATTCATTATCCACCCTCCAACCAATTTGGTATCTAATGTTTGGTATCTAATGAGAGTAAACAGTTCTGGAAACATCTACAGGCCAAATGTTTACTTGGTTATAAAGTAAAAGTACCAGTTCATTTGGTGATCATATGAGTTTGTTTAGTCAGAAAATGTCAATTTTTATTTTGTTTATTATTTTTTTCCGAGGGGGGGGGTCTTTCAAAGAATTGCTCATCAAAACTTAACAGCTACCCCGGTAATTGGAAAAAAGATATTGAAAATAATCCTGTCATGTTAAATTTGTTAGATATTTAATATTTGTGAAAACCTGTTTAATTTATTTTTTGAAGGCATGTGTATATTTGTTCAAGCTAGTGAAAATTAGTAAAATTTTACTTTAGACAAATAGAAAATGCTATTGGACTTTTGGGTTTGATTGTCAAAAAGTTTGTGGCTCAGACTTTTATTTTTGATATACTTATGGCCTTCGGCTGTTTTGTGCTCTTTGGTTTGGTTGTTGTCTCTTTGACACATTCCGCGTTTCCATTCTCTATTTTATTTACATGTATATTGCTACAAGACACAAAGGGTTGAAATAATTAAATAAATCATTTCTATGTACATTGGATTAGGTATTTAACAACCTGAATTTGTGATAAGGTAGTAAATTTCATATCATTACTAAAGGTTTTATTGTCATTTAATAACTCTTTCTATTTTCTTTATTGATCAAGAACATATTATAGCAGGCATTACATATTATTTAGGTGTCTTAATCATTATTTGGTTGATTTAGAAACTATTTGAATAAAATAATTTACAGAACCATAGCATACATTTTTACCTTTAGATCATAGACATCCCTCTTTGTCAATATCAAGAAAAATATCTTTGTCAATATCAAGAAAAATATCCAGATATGAAGCATACTTTCTGATTTTAGTAGTATCCATAATTTCAAGTATCTAATGAGAGTAAACAGTTTTGGAAGCATCTACAGGCCAAATGTATATACTTTGATATATGAGATGCAAGCACTCACTGAAATGTGGGTTATCATGTGACAGGACGTCATCAATATATCTGAAAGTGAGATTATAAACTTAGCAAGAGGCTTTTTCTTTTTGTCCTTGAGTTTTTTTTCTGAATTCTGCTTCATAAGAGTACAAAAATAAGTCAACCAGTAGGGTCAACAATTAGTACCCATTAGAATACTGAATGTACCGATATGTTGAAATATCAATTGTTCAAACTCACCAAATGTGATATTGATAAAAAAAATCCAGCATTTTGATGATATGGTCTGTATTCTGTTTGTTGCCATTATCTCTATTTTTTGTAATAAGATTAAAGGTAATTGAAAATATTTTTTAGAGTCTTGTCTTAGTATAAAAGTATAAATGTTGAAATTCATAAATTTTGAACAGGTTATTCACCATGACAGTTTGAAGCTTGGTAAATCAAAAGAAGAGTTTCTACAGATAAATGGTCCACACATGGCTACAGCAACCCATGTAATAGTTATCCTGACAGATGCTGCAACATTGTCACCTTTTGTTTTCCATGAAGTGTTGTTTGCTGATTGGCTTGGCAAGAAAATAGTCACCGCCATGTTTAAAAATGTTTGGCCTGGTCTTCGACCATCACTTAAAGCTATACTAGGTAAGTATAGATGTATATCACTGAATTTTCCATTACAAACTTGTATTGTATAATACAACACAACGAAGGTGAGGTAACTAATTATGAGATGATATTACAAAAGACACTACATTTAATGTAACTCGAATAATTCAAGCCCTTACCGTCTCTGATTCTCTCCACCTTTCGAGTAGTTAATGTAGTGATCGATAGGGAGCGTAATATAACGACTGGATTATTCGGGTTACATTTAATGTATATATTTTCAGTCATACTTATAAAACTTTTTTGGAATAGACATACTAGAACACATCCGCGACATTGCAGTTCTGTGACTGAATTAAAGTACCTACGCCTTATTTTCAGCCTGGATTTTTAGTATTCGTATTGTCATTTGATAAAGTCATGCTGATTATAAGGTCCACAGTTTTCTCTGCTTTCAAAAACTTTTTTGTTTGAATCCGTCCTGGTTTTCTTACTACAGCCGGAAACTACTTGTAGATATATTTTTTGGTCAATGATTGAATTTAGTAGTGTCAATCCCTGTATAATGATGAAGTTCAGGTGTGATAATGACCCATGTATACAGCAAATCCCCAAAACTCGTTTGGTAGTGTGCCTGACAGAGGCGGAACATACAGATTAGGTAACAGGTACTAGTGGTATCAGTATTGGATTTGACCTGGAACTTGTTGATTATTTGTGATATTATTTGGATAACAAAATGGAATGGTGCAATTTTTAATCAACACTATTGTCCTTTATTAGTTATATATGAAGTTGAATTCTTTGATTCATTGTTTTTACGTCATGCCGGCTAATGAATTGAATCTTGTTATTTTAGTAGTATAGATAGGTTCCTTTAACTTGAAATTACTAGGTTCCTTTAACTTGAAATTACTAGGTTCCTTTAACTTGAAATTACATTCAGGAAACCATAAGTTTTTAATAGAAAAAAAAAAGTTTTCATTTCTGCACAGTTTTAGTGCTTTTAATAGCCCAAAATAGAAGGTCATAATTTTTCTTTGGTATGTAGAACGATTTTCAGGTGTACATGTCTGTCTGGTAGGGTTCATTTGATCCTGACCTCATTTTCATGATTCATTGGTCAATGTTAAGTTTTGTGGTAAGGTCTGTTTCATAGATACAATCAGCAAAAGGTCAACTTCATTGAATGTATAGAATGATTGTATGGTGTACATGTCCATCTGGCAGTTTCATCTGACCTTGACCTAATTTTTATGGTTCAGTGGTCAATGATAAGTTTTTGTGATTAGGTATGTTTCTCAGATACTATAAGCAATACATGTAGGTTAAATATTTTTGGTGTATGGAATGATTATAACGTGTACCTGTCATTATGGCAGGGTTCATCTAACCTTGACCCCATATACATGGATCATTGCTAATGTTGAATTTATATGATACTTGCATAAATCCTATATCTGAAAGACTTGTAAATAAATTCAATTGTAATCAATAAAGCAGGTGAGATATTTGCACTCTTGTTTATCTATAAACATAAATAAGTTATCCCTTTTTAGACAAAAAACTGTGCTAATGTACCATTTCATCTGTGCCCCTCTGTCCTTAAATTCTTGCTGGAACACTGAATATTAGTAAGTAGAAATCAAGTGTAGGAATTTATCTTCACAGGGAATTAAGGTTTATTCCTTTTTTTAGCAAATCTTTAGATGTTTTGATTTGAAACACAAGATAAAATTTCTGTGTAAAAAGTGACATTTCAAGAAGTAAATTTCTTTTGGATATTAAAACAAGAAGATGTGGTATGATTGCCAAATAGACAACTCTCCACAAGAGACCAAATGACACAGAAATTAACAACTATAGGTCACCGTACGGCCTTCAACAATGAGCAAAGCCCATACTGCATAGTCAGCTATAAAAGATCCCGAAAAGACAAATGTAAAACCATTTAAACGAGAAAACTAACGGCTTGATTTATGTACAAATAATGAATGAAAAACAAATATGATATACAGCAACAAACGACAACCACTGAGTTACAGACTCCTGACTTGGGACAGGCACATACATACAGAATGTGGCGGGGTTAAACATGTTAGTGTGCACCAAACCCTCCCCCTAACCTGGGACAGTGGTGTAACAGTACAACATATGATCAAACTATAAAAATCAGTTGAAAAGGGCTTAACTCATCAGATAGATTCAAAGCAAAAACAAGTAACAAAAACACAGAGTGGACGTGGCAGGGTAATTATACATCCCTACAACAAAAAGACACTAAGAACAGATCTGAGAGTACTCACAGTTACTGACAGCTAGTTCAAAGCCAATTACTAAGTTGAAAAACTTGTGTCGAATCCATTTGTCCTTTTTGTTATATTAAATATGTTTAAACAAAAAAAGTGACATTAAATGCAAAATAATTTCAAAAATATTATTCTGGAAATGACTTTTTGTTTACACTGTAAATTTTTTGTTCTCAACTGTTATATTTTAGCAGAAAAAACATTATTTTGTACCAAATTAGGGACATTGGATGTCGATGGGTCTTTTATTTGTTGAAAATATGATAATGATATATGTTTAGTGCTTTTGATAGATTAGATGTAAAAGACATACAATAAATGTAAAGATTGTTGTTATCAAGGGAAAGCAGAAGTATGATTGAAATAAGGAATATTTCATTAACAATAATGTTACTTTAATAACCAGATTTAAATGTCCATTTATGTGAACTCAAATAACAATGTACCATGTCCATACTTTTCACTAAACATTTAATTTGTAATTAACACCCAGTTCTTCAACTATTTTCCTTTCATTAAAGTTTTCTTTGAATGTGATTAAAAATCCCTGTTCAAGTAGGTGAAAAACATTGAATTACGTACTTGTGTTTAAATCTACTTGATGATTTACAATAATATTATAAGACTAAGTAAAAGTGATTATTTTAGATAATAGATATTATTATCTAAATGTCTTTGAATAAATATAAAGATGTATTACGGTTTATTTCACCTAGATACATGTACAACTGAATAAATGTATCTTCAGTAATACTTGATGAATAGTTATACAAATTTAAGAATGCAAGACGATATTTACATAGAAAGAGAACTAAACTGAACTAAACAAACTTTTTCAGATCATTGCCTCAAAATTCAATACCTTGAAGCCTTTTTGATATCTTTTGTATAGGGGGCATTATGTTTTTCGGTCTGTGCATCCTTTCATCCGTTCGTCCGTGCGTCCTTCTGTCCTGCTTCAGGTTAAAGTTTTTGGTCGCTTCAGGTTAAAATTTTTGGTCAAGGTAGTTTTTGATGAAGTTGAAGTCCAATCAACTTGAAACTTAGTACACATGTTCCCTATGATATGATCTTTCTAATTTTAATGCCAAATTAAGAGTTTTGACCCCAATTTCACGGTCCACTGAACATAGAAAAGGATAGTGCGAGTGGGCCATCCTAGTACTATGGACACATTCTTGTTTGTCTTGTATGTCGTGAAGGCGAGACATAGAGATCATACATTCCGGCATAAGTGTTGTCAACATAAGGTTTCGTCTGTGATAACAAAAAATTTGGACAGAAGATTCTTCATTATGAAGAAACAGCATCCAGAACAAAATTTTTAGATATAGTATTTTCACATATTTTACTGTTAAACATGTTAAATGGACTGAAATTTTTGCACTAACATTAAGATACAGGTTTGGGTTAAAGGTTTATTAAGATTTCAATATTTTTTTTGAACCTTCATTGCATTTAATGAAACCAGAAATAGAGCTGTTTCATGAACATGAGACAGCATCTGTAATTTTGAAAATATTTTTCTTTTCATTTTTCCATATTCAGCTGAAAGAATAAGGTTTTCTTACCAAACTGTGAAATAGATGGAAATACACCCAGACTCATATTTTAAGACAATTGTTTAATTATTCTCATTATAAAAGTTTTTAAAAAATCTTGAGATCGATGGTTTCCAAGATCTTTAGGAAAATCAATGATATCGTGTATAATATTGATCATGAGATTTAATTTGGCATGTCTAGCTGTAATTATGGAGATGTTTTCTTGTTATTTATAGATGATTGTCCTGTAAATGATTATCTCTATAAAACTTTATTGTAATCGATAACAATTTAGATATTATAATGATTTGTTTTGTTTGTAATTACAGGTGATTGTCCAGCCATTGATTTTGAAACCAAGATGTACAATGAGAGCTTAGATGTACTTGAGCACCATATTAAGCCTTTAAGGAGAGTTCCTGGAGTTGTACTGGAGCAGTCTTATCTCAATAAGATGTCAGATGGACTCAAACCATTAGAAAGTCTGGCTTTAGTTAAAAGTATGTTTATGTAATGAATGATACGATTGTTTTAAAGTTACAGTACATTTACTTTATCAGATGTCAGTAAATCAAATGTCATGAATAAAGTAGCAGAGTCATGGATCTTTAAAAATGTTAAATTTACGTGATACTTGTATTAAAACCTTTATTTTTTAAAATTCCAACATAAAATCAATGGTCAGTAAAGCAGGTGAGACATTTCACTATGTGCCTCAATGAAATTAGTCTCATATACTTTAGTTTAAATCAAACTCTTGTAAATCTTTGGTGAAGAAGTTTCCTTTTCAAAAGCATTCCTCCTTTAGGAAAGTACACATAACTAAAGCAGTATAAAAATATGTTTAAACAAAATATTGTTTCTTGTTTGAAATGTTTTACATTTGTCATTTCGGGGCCTTTTATAACTGACTATGCGGTGTGGGTTTTGCTCATTGTTGAAGGTCGTATGGTGACCTATAGTTGTTAATTTCTGTGTCATTTGGTCTCTTGTGGAGAGTTGTCTCATTGGCAATCACACCACATCTTCTTATTTTTATATTTACATATACAATTATGACTAGGGTGAGATTTAAACACATAATATATACACAAACTTGTCAAAACTTTTACTGAATTTTATCATCGTTACAAGGACATCATTTGTAAATATTAATCAACATGCAGACATCTTATACGTTCAGATATTTCACATCCCATCTTTTATGATAATATTCTATACAAGGCACAAGAATGTCGTCATTCACCTCAAAAGCTAACCAAACCTTTAAACAGACTTATTCAGAAGGGATATAGTTACAATACTGTTGTCAAGTCATTAAAGATGGCATTTTTTAGAATAATTCACTCGTAGGGTATTTGCATTGGAAGTAAACACATTTATTCTAAAAGTTTTTGGCATGATACAGGTTATGTTCTTCTCATATAATTTATGATAGCATGATACTAAACCCCTAACGGGAGGGATTGTGCTTGATTTTAAGTATATGATGAAGACATAATCTTTCGATCAGGTAAATTGAGGTCTGGAGCTGGCATGTCAGTAACTGCTAGGAGTCCTTTGTTAATTTATGTTGATCATTGTCATTAATTTTGCTTAGTTTCTTCTGTTACCTATTCTAATAATGGACTTCTTTAAAACTGAGTTTTTACTGTGCGTGTTGCTGTGTGTTTGTTTATTCCATATATATTGGCTAGAGGTATAAGGGAGGGTTGATATCTTACAAAACATGTTTAACCCCGCCAAATTTATGTGCCTGTCCCAATTCAGGAACCTCTAGCCGTTGTTAGTCTTGTGTGTTTTTTTAATTTTAGTTCATTTATATGTTTCAGAGTTTAGTGTGGCGTCCAATGCGCTGAACTAATAATTATATATTATGGTTTAGGGGCCAACTGAAGCCTGCCTCAGGGCGCAGAATTTTCTCGCTGCGTTGAAGACCCATTGGCAGTCGGGCTGTTTTCTGTTCTTTGGTCGGATTGTTGTCTCTTTGACACATTCCCTGTTTCCATTCTTAATTCTAATATTATTATTTTAGGAAAACAAAGTAAAATTATTAAGAGAAAATTGAAATCAAAATCTAATAGTTGTTCTTTCAGATGGTGTTACCAATGTAACAAAGGAAGATGGAGACCCACAAGTGTTCATAAGTTATCAATGGGACATGCAGGGAAAAGTAGAGGACATTAAAAACATGCTGGAACATAATGGCCTTCAGTGTTGGGCAGATATCAACATCAACCATCCACCAAGGGGAACCAGTAGCAAAAGTTCACGTAGTAGTGTGACCCATCAACTTGATTCTGGTCTGGAAACATTACAGAGTCAAATCCAGAGAAATATGAAAGCTGCTTCAGTAGTTTTAACCTGTCTCACACCAAAATACCTCCAAAGTGATAACTGTAAGAAAGATTTGACATTAGCTGAAACATTTCACAAACCAATTGTACCAGTCTTACTCCGATTCTCTCCCCTTGAAAGTGCTCCAGATCAAGTGCGAAAACTTTTGGCTCGTTATAGTTACATAGATCTTAGTAATGATCGGTTATACAAACAAAACATTCCGATTGTGCTGGAGAAAGTCAAAAAGTTAGCAACTCATAGAGGTTACAGCTAGTACAAACATTGTAAAAAAAATCATCATACAAAAGCTACAAAATCATGTGCCATCATGTATAAAAAAGACTAAATGTTGTTTGTAATCTTTCACTATTATATTTATCATATTAAGACATGTGTTCTTTAGATATAGATCTGTGTTAATTGTATTAATTTAGCAGAGAATTCCTGGATATGAAACATAATTCACTGAAAAGATATTAAATCTAGTTAGATCTTTCTTTCAGTTGTAGAGTATAAACAATAAGTGTTTCCCAAGTTCAGTCATTTCAATTGGCAGTTTTGATTGTGTTATTTTGTGTATTATGTTAATGCTGCTAGTGTTTAACAGTAGAAATATTTATTTATATTTGTATAAATGGTCAATACTTTAGAATGTTATTTGTAAGAATTACTTAAGATTGGTTTAAACTTTCACCAAAACAATGACAGTGAATGTACCATATAGACTATAGATCTGTTTTTTTAGTTAACAACTCAGGTTAATCAGATGGCTTGAAATTATTCATTTTTTTGTGTGAATTATAATCATTGTCATTCATCATATCAAAACTTCTGCAATGTGTTCAAAACTAAATTAAGTATTACTGCAATTAGATAAAAAACAGTTCTCCTTTCCTCAGTGAAATTTGTTTTCATTTTATAATGATAATGTTCTGAATAAAGTGTGTCAAAACAATGTCCAAGAAGAAAAATATATGATGCTAATTAAATGTTCTGATGTTACTTTATAATGAATAAGATACAATAGATTGGACTGGTTACTCAAGATTTTCTGTTATAGTATGTTTTTAAGTTAGGTTACATTTTATTGGTTATTTCCCATATTTAGTAGTTTACAGTGCATTCTATACAGTTTATTGTTTTTGATAGCAAAGCAAGAAATAGATAGTAATGTTTGATTAGTTGAATATAAAATTATGCTGATTTTGCCTTTACATGTTTACATTGCAATTGCCTGATGTAGCCAAACTGGCAAAAATGAAACTGAACATTTAATTAAGTTTCCTTGAGCAATTTTCTGCTGTCAAACTTTTCAAAGTTTTTAATATTTGCCAAAAGAATAAAACAGTGTTTGAAAAACAAAGTTGTATTTTATAAAGTAAGTATTAACTCTTCGATCCCTTCTCCCATAAAAAAAAATTAAAAATCAGCACAACAACTGTTCGCATTTTTAAGTAAACTCAGCCAAAGTTGGTGTTTGGGGAGGGAATTCGTATAGAATTACAATTATCAGAACATAAAACTACTCAAAAACTTCTCCTGCTGATGTTTTTGTAAACAGAAAATAGATAACTGAATGTTTGCCTTGTTACGAAGCTGATTGTGCTTTAATGTTTCTAATGGAATCATACATATTTGTATTTTTAAATATATTTTTATATAAAACTGATAATAACAACCATTTTCAATTCTGTGATATTTTTTGTTTTTTACTGTGATTTGTCCACAAGTTGTGTTGTATTACCTCAAAGCTTTATATATTTTTATGTTGTGTTTATATGTTATACCTATTGTTTAAGGGGTGGGGACAATTCAAATGGGTTACATAATGGTACAATGTTAATGTTGAATGAGCAATGGTTACAACTGTGTTTTATTTTTGTCTTTTTTTTGTCAGTATGCTTTTGCTTATTTTAATTTGCAATTGCATAAAATGTGTTAAATATTCCCCACATGAATAGTTTTACAAATCAGCACAACTAATGTGAAGGGTGTTCTTACCATTTGTTGCAGGAATTTTAGTCCCTCCAGAAAATTTTATGCAAACAAAACCTGTGAAAATATCAACGTTTACTGAAGGTAGAAAAGAAAAGGTCTGTCATTTTGAGATAACACAGGGGACATAGGTCATACATAGTTTTGCTAGATTAACATTTGTACTAAAGGTCAGAATACTTCCTCAAACAACAAAAGATGGCATAAATAAATTGTTTAATAGTATATGTTAGCAAGTGGAGAAACACATTTTGAATCATTTAAATGTTTAGTCACAATAGAATGGCAATACATAATTTACAAATGCAAAAGAAAAAAATTACACATAAGAACCATAATACTTGTAGATTATCGTTTGTCATCTCAACGTGATTGATTTTCTTGCTTGAGCCGGTACAGCGAAAGTGAGAAAAGCAATTGAGTTGAGATGAAATCTGTTTATCGCTATTTTACCTATGACGACGTTGTAAATTTCATTGACAACTGCATGTGCGCCCTTAGTTTCTAGCGATAATTTTTCGTATCACTCTACTGTGCTGAGAAAGGAAATTATCAGTCAGTAAGATCAAAGGAAAATTTCGTAAAATAGCGATAATTAATATTAAATGCATGTTTATCTGAGTTTATAAAAACAAATTTAGTTGTCCTTAAAATTTAAACAAAACAACAAAAATCTTTTACTTTTTATCCAAACTTTCTTTTAAAAAAAGAGCATGGTTACCTGTTTTAAATTAAAGATTATTATTTAAGATCAAACTTAGGCTTCAAACATATTTTTTTATGAAATTGTAATCCAATACAGAACTGTGTTCATTGAATTCTTTGTGTCTTAATTTATAGGGCTGTTCTATAAACATACATGAGACCCAGGAGGGAAGACAATTTGAAATGGCCACTATTGGTGGGTGTGAAATATTATGTTATACATACATGCATAAGTTTAAAATGTATGAAGGTCTCATAAATTAATTCTGTTGGTGGCTTCCTTGTGTTCCATGTATGTTTTAAAGGAACAGCCATGAGTTACTTATGAATAAATAACCACATTTTATTATGCATTAATCATTCCTCAGTATAAATTAATATTTCACAGAAAAATAAATAAGAACATGTCTACTCTACAAGAAATAACGTAAGTAAGACAAGACTTTGACTGACAATTATTTACAAAGACGATAGAAATTAGTCGAATTTTGTCAATTCTTTAATAAAACAAGTTAAATAGAATAAGCTTGATTTTTCATACATAGAATACATATGTTTTAATATGTCATACATCAGATTTAATCATTTTTCGCCTATAATTTTTGTTATTGTATCAGATCAGTGCTCGAAATATAAAGATGTGTACATCATAATTGAAAATATGAGCTCTATATCAGTAGTACATATCTAGTCTTGTAAGACAAAGTATTTCATTCTATTTAAAGCATTTCACATTCCAGAAATTTATATTTCTGAATTTTAAAGTTTTGTCAGTTGAACTCGCATCATTTAGTTTTAACCCATTAAAATACCTGTGTCAATGTTTCATATGATAGACTCTTTACATTATATATTAAAAACGAGCTAACTCTGTGTAATCATATCATTTTATAATTATAAAAAGAGTATTCTAAAATAAATGAAAATTGCCAAAATAAAACACCATAGTGCCTCAGAAGGTAAAAATATCTTTTTTGTAATAATCAAGTTGCCAAAATGGTAAAAAAAAATTAAATTGGGTAAAAATAATGCGTGGTTAGTTTGAAATTATTTATTGATTGAATCATCAGAAACCTGTTGTAAGTGAAATATAAAATGGTTCAAGTAATTAATTGTTTTCAAATTTGTTCAGATGGTACATTGTTTTTGCAATTTGGGTTAAATATAATAAAAAGGTGATGTCTCAGATTTTCAATATAACTTCAAAATGTTTAACTTGTACTAAAAACTGAAATTATGCAGTTATATCTTTATTCTTTTGCTGTGAAAAACAAAGTAGAATTATGATTTGTCAGTTAAGCAGCATTACAATTTTATGCTAATTTCAAAGTTTTGGAGTATATTTTTTTCATCAATAAATTTGAATAATGTATACACTAAAATTAAAGTTTTGTTACCTTATTATTATCTTGCATCATTTAGAACAGAAACTTTTCTGGCAACAACATGTCAATTTGTAAGAAAGAAGATATGTGGTCTGCTTGGAAGAATAAGGATTTCAGGAACATTTTTGAGAACATTTTCACCATACATGTATTACATGCATTCAATACAGTTGTGTGTCTATTTTAAGAATCTTTCTTTAATGGTTTCAAAGAATGGAAAACAAATTATCTATCCATTTTTAGTGTTCTAGTTAAATATATGTTGGAGCTTACATAAATCTGTGACTTTTCCAATTTACTGGTTCTTAGCCTATCAGTAAAACTATCTGTTTCATGTATGACAATTTTGAAGCATGGAGAAAATATGCTACAGTAGTTTGTTCAAAAGGTTTGGATTTTTACATATTCTTATTATTGCCTTTAAACTGTAGAATGTTATGATATGTCATTGTATCCTACAGTATTAAAACCTCAGGCCAAAACAGCATTGTTGAATGTCAACAATGAATAAAACCACTTATTTATTTTTAGCATTTTTTTTTATGGTTCTGAAATATTTGTTATATATATTATATTGTTTTTCGTACTAACTTTAAATATTATTTAAAATTGGAATACTTAAGTCATATTTTTCTCTTTCATTAGCTATCAAATTACAAAAAAAATCCTTTTTGAGAAACTGTTAAGTTTGGTAAAAATCTGTCAGAAGCGAGACATAGTGATCCTACATTCTTGGGGAGGCTGTGTTTAATACTAGTAAAACCTCAATGGAACTTTATGACACTCAGAAGAAGCTTTTTTATGACCAAATTACAGTATCCAGAGCTAAATTTTGAAAAAAATATTGTTTTCATTTCCAGTATTTTATTGATACTTTGTCTTTTCAGTTACATTTTACATACAGTCTCAGATTAAATTTTTTAGATATCAATAACTTTGTCAAACCTTCACAAAAGTTCAAATTTAAAAAAATCATATTTTACTGATAAAAGGCTTTAGTTTTTGACTGTAGATATTGCACTTTTACACCAACAGCAGCAATTGCAGGCAAGATAGGAGTTGATGGAACCCTTTACAAATTGTTGTCATAAGATTTATTGTTATTGATCTGACTGATGGGTTAAAGCAGATTATTGTTATTGATCTGACTGATGGGTTAAAGCAGATTATTGTTATTGATCTGACTGATGGGTTAAAGCAGATTATTTACTTTATAAAAATAATTCCAATTATAAATAATACCTAATTTTATTATATGTTAATTGTTATATGTTTTGATCTCTTCTTGCTGATTGTGTTATGATTTTGTGGAGTTTCTGCTCCTGTCAAAGCTGCCAGTCATGTCCATCGTGTAAATACATGTATATATTTATACCAGAGTGTTAAGTGTGAAGGTTACAGGTGTGTACACAGTGTGGAACACATAATTTATGTTTTCTTGGAAAAGGGGAGTTATTTTGTTCATAATATTCAGAGCATACTTTTTAGAGTATTGATTTAACAAATTTCTTTTCTTGAAAAAGTTTTTTGCCTGCATTATCACTGTTGTTAAAGACAACAAGACAACATTTGTCCAAAATTTACATAAAATTGAAAAATAATATTTAAAAATCACCAAAACAAACTATTGCGAAAGGAATGAAACCTTTTCCCAGAATCAGTTCCTTTTTGTTGCATTATTCAAAAAAATTTGCAAGTTTACCTGTCCCATTTTATAAATACAGTAGCTATTGGTCTCTGTGGTATTTATTCAATTGGACATATAAATTTCTTCTTGAAAAGCCAACAAGTAATTGATTTATTAAGCTGGACAAAAAATGTAATCTTAGTGCTGAAAATGCATGAACCAGTACTGAATGATAATAAGATTTTTAATTACAAACAAATTAACTGTGGTGGTGCATTTCTTTTGTTGTTAAGTATTTTTTTTGTCACATAATTTAAGCGATAGTTCTCTTTTACATATTTTTTTTTAATTTCAATCTGAAAATAATTTCTGTAAGAATTTGATATTCCCTTGACAACAATATTAAGGAAACCAAGTTACAATGTTTATGATGGCCACAGGTAGATATTTTGAATGTTGGATATCAAAATAAAAAATGTAATATGATAAATATTGTTACATATTGACTTTAAACTGTAATCTACTTATTGGATACAACTTTCTAAGGTTGTCATCTGGAGCCTAAATTATTCAGTCATGATCATACTTTTATTGTAGTACCTTGTTCTTTTTAGTGAGCCCATGCTTTATGATCGTATGGATAGATACCTTAACAAACATAGTTGTTTCCATCCTTTTATTTTGGTCTCTGGTGAGCAACACTACCAAGGTAAAATAAACTCGACTAAAATGTCATTATCTCCATGTAAAAATATCTTTGCCATTTTTTTTTAACTGCAATTATAAAATAAAGAAGACAATTTAAGAATGCACCCAAATACACAGATTTGTATATTTTGACAGAAGTAATTTGTCTGTTTGCTTCATTTATAGTTTGTAATCACTGTCACCAAATTTTAATTCAGTGAATAACATACATTATCTGATTTTGGGTAAAGATCTTTAAAATATCTGCCAGGAATTATTTCCATCATATTTTAAGAATATGTTTTGTTTCTGCTGTAATCCATGCAATACCAATCTTTACATTCTGTTATTTATTCTAGATGGAATATTTTTTTGTTATGGAACAAAATAAATGGAAAAATGATGACTTAGCATTTGTTCATTATTTACTGAAAACCCCTTTTAGCTCACCTGACCCACACGACCAAGTGAGCTTTTCTCATCATGTCTTTATCCGTAGTCCTTTAACTTTTACGAAAATCTTCTGTGAAAACACTGCTAAGTTTAATCAAACTTGACCACAATCATCGTTATGGGTATCTAGTAAAAAATGTGTCCGTTGACCAAGCATGTCATCCAACATGGCTACAAATAGAACATAGGAGTAAAATAAGAGTTGTCTATTATCTTAAAAACCGCTAAATATAGAAAAAATTTGACAGGGCATAAAATTTCAGAATGTTGGGATTACCTTTTGTCCATTAAATCAAAACTGTCAGGTGACTTCTTATAGGAGTTGTTGGCCTTAAATGAATTTTCACCAGTTTTTTAGCTCACCTGGCCCAAAGGGCCAAGTGAGCTTTTCTCATCACTTGGCGTCCGTCGTCCGTAAACTTTTACAAAAATCTTCTCCTCTGAAACTATTGGGCCTAATTTGACCAAACTTGGCCACAATCATCATTAGGGTATCTAGTTTAAAAAATATGTCCGGCCATTCCGCCAACCAACCAAGATGACCACCATGGCTAAAAATAGAACATAGGGGTAAAATGTAGATTTTGGCTTATATCTCTGAAACCAAAGCATTTAGAGTAAATCTGACACAGGGTAAAACTGATAATCAGGTCAAGATCTATCTGCCCTGAAATTTTCAGACAAATCTGACAACCTGTTGTTGGGTTGCTGCCCCTGAATTGGTAATTTTAAGGAAATTTTGCAGTTTTTATACGACCGCAAAAAAATTTTGTGGTCGTATATTGGTATGACGTCGTCGTCGTCCGATGACACATTGGTTTTCGCACTCTAACTTTAGTTAAAGTGAATGGATCTTTTAGAAATTTGACCATAAGGTTAAATACCACAAAAGGAAGGTTGGGATTGCTTTTGGGGGTTATGGTACCAACAGTTAAGGAATAAGGGGCCAAAAAGGGGCCAAAAATAAGCATTTTCTAGTTTCCAGACAATAACTGTGGAATGGTGTATGGATCTCTCTGAAATTATACTACAAGTTTCCAGACCACAAAGGGATGGTTAGGATTTGCTTTGGGGGGTTATGGCTCAAACCGTTTAGGAATTAGGGGCAAAAAAGGGGGAAAAACAAGGTTGTCCTGGTTAATGGACAAATACTTTAGTACAAAACATAATTTAAAGCAGTGTAAGGGAGATAAATCAAATACATCATTTCAATTATCTCCCTTACACTGCTTTTAAATTATGTATAAAGTAATGGTTAATGAACAATAAAGATAATTTAAAACAGTGTAAGGGAGGTAATCCAAATACAACTTTTTTGTTACTTCCCTTACACTGCTTTTAAATTATGTTTAAAGAAATGCATATTTATAAAGGAAGACCAGTAAAAATATCTGCAAATGTTGCATCTTTTTTTTTTACAAAAAAATCCATATGAAAGATTTGACACTATATTTTTAATTCTATTATAAAATAGATTAAGTTAGCACTATGGTAAATTTAAATGGGTAATTATGGTTGCCAACTCCATTGGAAATTTGAATTGAGATTATGACCATATCTTGAGGGAAAGAATTTTTTGGGGGAAAAAAGAGGGGGGGGGATAAAAAGAAATTGTGGGGGGTCAATTTTTTCTCATTTCAGATTTCAGAAATTAAAAAGAATTATTCTTCAAATATTATTATTTTTCAAATTTCAAATATTGAAAAATTTCAAGAAGTAACCTTTAATTGCACAGTATGGCGCATTAGATTTGTAAAATCTTTGATCACATTTATTTATTTGTTATGCCGAATCTAACAGTGTATTTAGATTTTTAATTTTGGGTCCAGTTTTCAAATTGGTCTACATTAAGGTCCAAAGGGTCCAAAATTTAACTTTGTTTGATTTTAGCAAAAATTGAATATATGAGGTTCTTTGATATGCTGAATCTAAACATGTATCTAGATTTTTGATTTTTGGCCCAGTTTTCAAGTTGGTCCAAATTGGGGTCCAAAATTAAACTTTGTTTGATTTCAACAAAAATTGAATATATGGGGTTCTTTGATATGCTGAATCTAACCATGTATTTAGATTTTTTATTTGTGGACCTCGTTATCAAATTGGTTCATATTGAGGTCAAAAGGGTCCAAAATTAAACTTTGTTTGATTTCATCTAAAATTGAATTATTAGGGTTCTTTGATATTCCAAATCTAACCGTGTATTTAGATTTTTAATTTTGGGTCCTGTTTTTTAAATTGCTCTACATTAAGGTCCAAAGGGTCCAAAATTAAACTTAGTTTGATTTTAACAAAAATTGAATTCTTGGGGTTCTTTGATATGCTGAATCAAAACATGTGTTTAGATTTTTGATTATGGGCCCAGTTTTCAAGTTGGTCCAAGATAGGGTCCAGTATTTAAACTTTGTTTGATTTCAACAAAAATTGAATAAATGGGGTTCTTTGATATGCTGAATCTAAACATGTATTTAGATTTTATATTATGGGCCCAGTTTTCAAGTTGGTCCAAATTGGGGTCCAAAATTAAACTTTGTTTGATTTCAACAAAAATTAAATATATGAGGTTCTTTGATATGCTGAATCTAAACATGTATTTAGATTTTTTATTTGTGGGCCCCGCTATCAAATTGGTTCATATTGAGGTCAAAAGGGTCCAAAATTAAACTTTGTTTGATTTCATCAAAAATTGAATTATTGGGGTTCTTTGATATGCCAAATCTAACCGTGTTTTTAGATTTTTAATTTGGGTCCCGTTTTTTAAATTGGTTTTCATTGAGGTCCAAAGGGTCCAAAATTAAACTTAGTTTGATTTTAACAAAAATTGAATTCTTGGGGTTCTTTGATATGCTGAATCTAAACATGTGTTTAGATTTTTGATTATGGGCCCAGTTTTCAAGTTGGTCCAAGTTGGGGTCCAAAATAAAACTTTTTTTGATTTCAACAAAAATTGAATATATGGGGTTCTTTGATATGCTGAATCTAACCATGAATTCAGATTTTTTATTTGTGGGCCCCGCTATCAAATTGGTTCATATTGAGGTCAAAAGGGTCCAAAATTAAACTTTGTTTGATTTCATCAAAAATTGAATTATTGGGGTTCTTTGATATTCCAAATCTAACGGTGTATTTAGATTTTTAATTTTAAGTCCTGTTTTTTAAATTGGTCTACATTAAGGTCCAAAGGGTCCAAAATTAAACTTAGTTAGATTTTAGCAAAAATTGAATTCTTGGGGTTCTTTGATATGCTGAATCTAGACATGTGTTTAGATTTTTGATTATGGGCCCAGTTTTCAAGTTTTTCCAAGTTGGGGTCCAAAATTAAACTTTGTTTGATTTTAACAAAAATTGAATATATGGGGTTCTTTGATATGCTGAATCTAACCATGTATTTTGATTTTGGACATTGGACCATAATAGGTAAATTAAAAAAATTCAAGTTCTTAGACCACATTCTTTCTGTGTCAGAAACCTATGCTGTGTCAAATATTTAATAACAATCCAAATTCAGAGCTGTATCAAGCTTGAATGTTGTGTCCATACTTGCCCCAACTGTTCAGGGTTCGACCTCTGCGGTCGTATCAAGCTGTGCCCCAGCGAAGCATTTTATTGGTTATTATCTTGAATATTATTATAGATAGAGATAAACTGTAAACAGAAATCATGTTCAGCAAAGTAAGATCTACAAATAAGTCAACTTGACCAAAATGGTCAGTTGACCCCTTAAGGAGTTATTGGCCTTTATAGTCAATTTTTAACCATTTTTCGTAAATTTTTGTAATCTTTTACAAAAATCTTCTCCTCTGAAACTACTAAGACAAATTTAACCAAACTTGTCCACAATCATCGTTAGGGTATCTAGTTGAAAAAATGTGTCCGATGACCCCGCCTGCGAACTAAGATGGCTGACATGGCTAAAAAATAGTACATAGGGTAAAATGCAGTTTTTGGCTCATATCTCTGAAACCAAAGCATTTAGAGCAAATCTGATGATGATAAAATTGTTCATTAGGTCAAGATCTATATGCCCTGAAATTTTCAGACGTTGTTGGGTTGCTGCCCCTGAATTGGTAATTTTAAGAAAATTTTGCAGCTTTTGGTTATTATCTTGAATATTATTATATATAGAGATAAACTGTAAACAGCTATAATGTACAGCAAAGTAAGATCTACAAATAAGTCAACATGACCAAAATTGTCAATTGACCCCTTAAGGAGTTATTGCCTTTTATAGTCAATTGTTTACAATTTTCATAAATTTTGTAAATTTTTACAAAATATTTTCCACTGTAACTACTGGGCCAAGTTCATTATAGATAGAGATAATTGTAAGCAGCAAGAATGTTCAGTAAAGTAAGATCTACAAACACATCACCATCACCAAAACACAATTTTGTCATGAATCCATCTGTGTCCTTTGTTTAATATGCACATAGACCAAGGTGAGCGACACAGGCTCTTTAGAGCCCCTAGTTTTATTCATTTTTACCTATTTAAGTGAAAACTATAAAAGATAGATAGAAACTGAAATAGCAAAAAATGGTCAACAAGACACCAACTATACACAAGTCAAACATGACCGAAATCTTCAAAAGACTCCTTATTGGAGTAATTGCCCTTTAAAGACAAAATTTACCAATTTTTGGGTGTTTTTGCATATTACATGTATCTTAAAAACTACAAGTATAATGGAAAGATAGAAATTAAAGAAAGAAATCATGATAAGCATGACAAGATCTACAAATAAATCATAATTTCCAAAATCTTCAGTTAACTCCAAGTAAGAGGTATTGCCCTTAATTGACAATTTTTACACTTTTTGGTATTTCTGGCAAAAACTATAGAAGATGGAGATAAACTGTTAACAGAAAAACAATATCAGCGATACAAGATCAACAAAAAAGAGATTTCAGTCATGAATTATATTTTAGTCTACAATGTTGGAGAGTGTCCATTGTT